AGGCTTGCGAAAAAAAATACGTTGAGCTTAGGTTCGTTTTGCGATTACTACATATACATAATAACAAATGTGGGACGGCTACGTACATCGAAAATAACGTGTTATATGTATATCCTATTGAAGGGAATTTTCCTAGTATTCTTATACTGCGCAAATTATCATTCTTTCAAATTAAATCACTACGCATTCCAAAACCGGCTACATCACTATTCCTTCGATAAGCAAAGGGAAGTAGTAGTGAATTGTTTAAAGAACACCGTTAAAACTTTAAAGGGATATTTATTTTGACAAATAATTTTATAATATCACAAAGATCCAAAGTTAACGCGCAAATTCTTCAATCGCACTTCATCAAAGCCTCCAAGTAAAGTAAACCACTCCGTAAATTACAATTGCAACCTGCAAATCAACAATAGTAAGACATCCGTTAACAAATAATTAGTAATACATAAATACTCCAAACACAGGTAACTTTCAAGAAAAATTTGTTTCTTAACTGTTATCTTGCGAATAAATCAACTAACACTCCTTTATAGCTGTAAACTCTTCTGACTGTTATCAAATTTCATACCTCAGAGATTCAAAACACCCCTTCAAAATTTCGCAAAATATACATCAATTACCCAATTTATTTCGTTTTTCTTAATGTAATCAACAATTTACACGGAGTTTTAACATTCCACATGCAAAGGAATAACGGAATTCGATGAGAGATACATGTTCACTAAAACTGCTGAAAGCGTCTACTTTCCACCATTTTTATAAGTTTTTTCGTTAAAATATGGTATTTATAATGTATTTCAGTTGAAAAAAACACCTGGAAACAACGTAGAACAACCCAAACACAACATCACGATAACACATAACGACACCCCGTGTGTGCCTTTATCTATTGCCTGAAATCGCAATATTACATCAGTTAATCTTCCCCCAAAACCAAGGCCACTTGAAACCAATAGCAACATAGCAACAAGCGTCTCTGAGGGGATATGCAATAAAGTCGCTCGATTTTTCCAGTGCCTAAATCAACAAGTGGACCTAATGTTAAGTTTAGACCCATTGCAATTACCTCACCCTTCTTGAAAGTTATGAAAAGACTTATTTGACTTGATCTTGAACCTTCCTTAAAGCCTTTCAACAACCCCAACCAGTTTGCTTACAAACATAGTAGGTGTACGTTAGATGCCGCTGTTGTCCTACATCATAGTATGGTCTCTAGTTTAGATAAAGGAGCTAAATACGTTCGCTGTGCTTCCTTGATTACACATCTGCATTTGACTCTGTTCCCAGGTCTCTCTTGCTAAATAAGCTTGCTGCAACTCAGTCTGAGAGCTGGACAAATAAGTGGTTGCATTCCTATTTTTCTGATAGAAAGCAGTACACCGTCTACAATGGAAAGTCCTCCACTACCTCACTTAGTTTAGCTGGTGTTCCTCAAGGTGTTGTTCTTTCCCCCTTTCTGTTTTCGTTTTTCTTACATGACTTGCCTCATTCTGATGTAGCCACTTTTGTTAAGTATGCCGATGACCTCTCTGTTTCTATCCCTGTCAACTCTCAGTCAGATTGTTCCAAATTAAATAACTTTCTGTCAGAAATTAGTCAGTGGCCCTCTTCAAACGGTCTTAAGCTTAATCCGTCTAAATATGAGGTAGTCAATTTCACTTTCAGACGTAAACGTGATCTACAGAAACTAGTTCGCTCACATGGCCCCAATATCATTGACGGCACAGAAGTTGAAAATACATCTAATGTCAAGTACCTTGGGCTGAGTTTTTACGCCGATCTTTCCTGGTCCTCCCACATCTTGCTAGTTACTAGAAGGATGTTTCGCTTAACGTTCTGCGTCGGGAAATTTAGGCAATCTGGCATAAAGCTATCTGTGCTGTCTCAGTTTTTAAATTCTTGCATTCGGCCCATCCTCCTTTACTGCTCCCCATTAATCTTTCCTGGACTACTTAAGAAAGACTTTGCTTCGTTGAGAAGGGCACTAAAGGCCGTTAGCAGGGCAAGTGGGTTATCGTTAAACCAACTGGTTAACACTATTGTGGATAGACATGTAATGTCATGTAAGAAACTAGCGAATACAATATTGTCGGACCCCGAGCATCCTTTCTATACGCAGCTGTCTCCTTGCATTTCATCTGGTAGAACTAGGAGCAGCTATAGGAGGCTATATGTTAGGACTGCCAAATACAAGAACTCCACAATACCACATCTGGCACAGCTGTTATGTGATGAGAAATCCGTTAAATATGACATGATAAACTTACTGCGATACTCTAGCAAATAGTCCCATTAGTCTTCGTTTTCCCTTCCTCGTTAATGTTACGCTGTTATTCTCATCTTCCATTCACATATCAACTTTATGTTTTATGTATTATGGTGCAATGCCTGAAATGTAAACGCTTCGCTGATTTTTTGTTTTTTCATGTTGTCATGGGAATAACATCTGCGTTCTGTTTTCTTTCCAAGGTGTGAGAAGACCCTTTTGTACTGCTTTTCATAAACTTTGTGCAATATTCTTATGATACAGTGATCTGAATTTAGTCGTGGGTCTCTTTTTCCAGCTTCAAATATTCCTTACTCATTTGTAAACACGATATCAAGAATGTTATCCATTCTAGTCGGGAAGTTGACAATGTTATCGTGTCCAAGTGAAATTAGGAAGCTGTGATCACTAGAATTGAAATCTCCAGTAAATATAGACAAGGAATTTCCGAAGAAGGTGGCAGTGAGGGAGGTAAATTCACCTGCAAATAAAGATAATTCTGTGAAATTGCATCCAGGAGCAATGTAAATGTTCGAGATGTAAATGTAGTTGAATTTTGACAAATGTCTTTTGTATCGGACATCATGCGTGACAGAACAGTGTTGAAGGATATGTTGGATGCTTTCATGATGCCGACAGATACCGCTGTGGTTCAGGCTATCTTCGACACGTCCCCTGAATCTTCTAACCTTGGTACTCAATAGACCACTCTGCAGCTGAATCGTCGTGATGTGAAGATGCGGGAATATTTTCTCTGGGTTTTCAACTCAGTCATGTGATTCATCAGATTCAGCCGCCTTGTCAAGTCGTCTTCCGTGGTGCGATGCATATAACAAACAAGCCCAACATTCATGTACTTCATCTGAGGATGCTATGATTTGACGATGGGCTGTAACAGGCAAATTTCACAGGCGTAGAGAAGGGGCGAAGTAATTTATAGTAGCGATGTCACCGAGAAGTGGGTTAACATTGTTCAGAAGGGATTTGACTCGTTTCCGGCGAAGTGTGGGGATCGTAGTGGGGAGATTATTAACACCCAGACTGCCCTTAATGACCTTGAGTTTAAAGTAAACAACCAGGGTATTTTTAGGGAGCCAAAGCCACAACCATATCGCGGCTCGAATCATGGCATCTAGGTGTCTGAGGGTATTCTTATGAGTTAATCCTAGCATCAAGTAGTTTATGCATCCAGGGATAAGGTAATTCTTCAAGATTTTGATAGGTTGTTTCGGGTTCAGTGAGGGCCTGCTACACGATGGCTAAGCAGTCTTTGGGAACATCAGCATGATTTGGGTAGCTGCGCCTTTTGTAATTAAATTGAATGCCCAGATATTGAAATTCTTCCGAGACAGAAATAGCGGGAATTCCAATGCAACCAATTGTGACTGTCATCGGAGCAAGGGCAGTATTTTGTGGTGTTTATCTGCAATTGAGTGTAGTGTCGTGAGTACGTCAATTATTGACTGTAGGGAAGATGCGTTTCGAGAGAAGCTGATGGGTTCGTTGGCACACGCCACATAATGAAGTGGCTTGTTGGATAAGTAGATCAGCTCACAATCATCAAGAGGGGACGATACCTCCCTCATAGTCATGATAAATAGGAGTTGTGGAAGGCAGTCACCTTGTTTAACTCCACGTGTGGGATGGCATTCGACGTTGTTTAATATACTGGTTGACGTCATATATCAATTCGCGAAGTATTCGCGAAGCAGGTAGGGAGAGCCAAAACGGTCATGGGTACGTAGGATGGTCCCATGCAAGACATCTCCAAAGGCCTTGCGGATGTCAAGGATTTCTATCGAGCACTCCACATGGCTAGAGTTCATCTCATGTAGGATGGAATGTAGCAAATTGATGGCCTCGAAAGAGCCGTCTCTTTGGAGAAATGCAAATTGAAGCTTGTTAGTGTGAAAGATGGTAGCCACCCTCTAGCGATGATCTTATGCGGGCATCTCACTATAACCGGAGCGATAGAGATGGGGCGAAAATCACTAGGGGATTCAGGCTGGGCAGCTTCTGGAATAAACGTGGCTCCCGAAATGCTCAGAGGCGTTGAAAGATGAGCGGACAACAGAAGGACATTCAGATATCCAGAGAAACTATGTACCACATGTCTATCCTTCACACTTATCAAAAACTGTGCAGATTTATAATTTAGGACTCCAAGAATGTCTGAAATGCCCAACACTTTGTTTCCAGGAAGACTGGGGATCCCCAAGTTGGATTTAATTCCTGCCGAATGAATACTTCGCGAAGAGATCTGCGCTTCAACACGTGAGAACCATGAAGATGGCCGATTCGCCTGAAAGGTGAGGGGCTGAAGTGCAACTGCTATCTGAGTAGGAGAATCGTTTACAGATATGGTTTGATAAGGTATATGATACGAGATAATGAAAATATATCAGTGTGAAATAGCACAAAACCTCAGTTCAAAAAGAAAAGAACTTCTTATACGAAGGCGAAAAACAAAGCGACGATAAAATAGTTAGACTACTGACAAATTAGGCTTAGGATGGGACAGTGAATGAGATTCGGGTTCACCGGTTGCAAGGTACCCATAGTGCTGCTAATAAGCTACACTTTGCAAGCACCCAATTAACACGAGTTTTATAGTTATCCAATAATTCAGTACTCCACCTAACTGTAAGTGCTCACGACAGAACGTAATCAAAGAGATTTGTTTATCCAAGGAAACAGGTCTAGAACTTATCTAGCGGAGACGGCCTAATTACAAACTCAGAGAATGTGCCTGTTGACAGCAAAACACAAAAGCGCAGATTCGCTTCGGAGACATTCCATGTATGTCCACATTATAAGAAAGTCCTAAAACATTGGAAGTTGTACCAGAAACTTTAACGAGGTCGATGAAGACTGTTTGACTCTATCCCCGCGCCCTCTGAAATTTGATTTGGGTTGAGTAAACGGTGTGTGCGTAGCTGGTGTTCTGCTCTCTTTACCTGTGTGCCTGTTGATCTGCTCGTTAGCACTGTTTTTCCTCCTAATTTATTGCCTGGTGAGTCGATGACTTTGTTTAGTGTAATGTCAATATTGAAGATAACGAGTGGCGTGCAGGCGTAATATGTTGTATGTAGTGTATATGTATATCATGTCATATTATGGGTACTGAAGTCTATTTGAACTTTTCTTATCAGAACTTATACGTGGATAATTAGTTTGTAGCGAATTGATGGAATAAGGGCGGGACGCATGGGAAATGTTTGAAAGGATCAAAGAACGACGAGTAGATACTCGTCGTATACCCAAATAATAAAATTGGGTATTCGGGGAACTATTTGGGGCTATTGGCGAAGAGTGCTGAAATTCTTCGGAATTTTCATGTCAATTTGGTCTCGATATCCCGCAAATATCTCGAAATTTTGTTATCTGGGTGTAGTTCCAGTTAGCTAAGGCATTGTGCAAAAACACTGGAGGCTGTGAAAACGTGTGTTTTAGCTGACTCGCGAAGACTAGGCTGGGTTTCGTTCAAGCAGTGGATGCATTGGTCATATATTCACTGTTCCTTTGTTGTTGGAATACCGTAACTCGTATTGCAGTCGAACAATCGTTTTGTTTCCTGATTCTTCGATTCGTAGGACAGAACTGCTCTCTAGAACTGTGTTAAAGGGAGAAAGAGGGGGTGTATTTGAGTTTGTTAACGTCCTAAGAGCCTTGTACAGAAACGCCTCAGCTATCATCACTGTTTCCAACCGACAATGGGGTTAGACAAGATTGCCCAATACCTTCCTTTTTACTCTGCTATCGACGACATTCTGGAGACCTATTTAAGACATACGTAGTAATGATATAGATTTACTTTCTGAAGGACTTTGGTCTGAAGTATACAGAGTATATCGTCTTACTGTGTGGTAACATACGGACTGCTAAGTTGGCCCTTAATTAATATGCAGTGAGCATCTATAAGTATGGTATGCGCTTTGCATGACCTATGTGGGAAGTATTGTTTCAGGACTGACAGGAGTTGTTATGTACACTTCGCTTCGCAGGTGAACCGTTCGAAGTCGTCGAAAAGTCCGTGAATCTAGATAGTTGTGTAAGTGGTGGAGTTGGTGTGACCTATGATGACTCTAACCGTATATTGAAAGCTAGGGTGGCATACATCAGCTTGGGTCAACTTTAGCGCCGTCGTGATGTAGTCGTGGTTGTCAAAGGTAGGGTTCACTATACTTTGGTGCTCTCAGTTTTACTCTACGTCTGTGAGACCTGGTCTCTCTGAGGTAGGGGTATAAGGTAACTGAGTGTTCGGTCATCACTGCCTTCACAGTGTTACTTGTGTCCTATGGTGTATCACCGTGTAAGTAGTAATTGTGAGGTCCGCCAGCGTGTTTGGACATAACGGCGGTCACCTTTCATTGATTGTTGTCATCTGGGAACGACGACTTTAGTGGCTTGGAGATGTGCTCCAAACGCCATCCCAAAGCTGCCATACTGCTCTTTGTTGGCTAGCACTGGGATAGTGGGGAAAAGTGGTGGTCAGCCTATGGTGTGGTGCTGTGGGACAAAGGATATGTGTATTAGCATAGCATCTGTTGATTCATCACTGCCTGGGTGGTTCCCGAGATGTATTTCGAACCAGTGGGATATGACTACAGTTTCCTCTTTCCCTTCTGGGAGTAACATCAAATGGTGGGCCATCCTTTGAATGATCTTGATAACTGTACTTGCTTGCTTTCTGGAGGATGCTGCTCACTTATTTTATCCCAATTTTCCCTATATATTGTCGTATTATTATTTCACTGTGGTGCATCTCTTGGTGTCTATAATGTAGGAAGTATGTTTTAATAAAAATAATTACACAATTCCATAGGTATCTTAGCTATTCAGCTGCCATCATACTTGAGGATTGATAGGGAAATCCATCTTAGTCACACGTTTTATGTGTATACTTTGCTTTGTTTCATAACAGTTAATATGAGCTTTGATTATTAGACCCTGTTTACTAGTTACATGTTTGACAAATTTTCCCATCACTTTTCAGGAATGCCAAGAGAAATTTGCAAGTTAGATGAGAATTCACTGTCTAAGCTGGTAAGTTTTGTTCATTCGTTCATGCTTATTTAGTGATTGATTATGGTTGTTTTCTTTCTAAATTTCTTATGTCAAATAAATTTCATTTTCAGCCGTTATAACCCTGAAACCAAAACAAGTGATAAGTGCAACTTATACCTGTAATGAGTATAGTGGAATGTTTAAATTCACTAGTCTTAGTAGTTTTGTAAATAGTGTTGCGTTCTCATGAATTTTGTACATATTGACAGAAAAGATGCGTGTTCTTAAGTTGGATTAATCAGTTTCATGTGAGTTTTACAAGTATGTATGTATGTATATAGGCACTAAGCAACCCCTGCTTTGAGTGGGACACAGTCATCAGTATAAAATTGTGACTAAGTCGTTGGTAGTGACGTACTCAAACCACAGAGTTGCATTCTAATGTAACTAAGATTCTAAAGGTTAACCGATATACATTATTTGACTTGGTGATAAAGTAAACTTAAATATCCGTTATTTACCTTGGGCGGTAATACTTCTCATACTCAATATTTCAGTTGTAATGCTTTTATTCTTGTGACACCTTCAGTCCCGCATAATAAGGAGATCTTTGTCGTTTCTATGTGTAGGGATATTTCTGTCTTATTCATCTACTCAGTAGCCATTAAAGTGTGAATTTTTGACTGACTTCAGCTAAAGAATCGTAGGTTGAAAACCGTCTAGTACTGGGCAGTTGTTCCGTCCTTGCCTCAGGCTATGGAGCAGCACATGACCATGACCCCACCGGGCATGGAATCCCAGACCCTGTAGGTTGCAAAGCAAGTTCGTAGAGCATTTAGTCACTGAAGCGGAATCCAACGGCCCGTCAATTGTAACTTCTATCGATCGACCATATATGACACGACCACCAGTCAGTGTCATCAGCGAGTACTTATCCTTGGAGGACTCCACTGATCACAAATTCGCACTAAGATTTCAGGCAACTTCATCCCTTGGTTTTTAGTGGTTCTTCAGCTGAAATCATTTCGTCATCAACCTGTCCAAGCTCATATGGGAATTGTGCACAAAGTGGTGAGCATATAAACTTGTATAATTCGAAGGTTGGTTACTTTTAGGAACATCGGTGATTTGTTTATTGACTTTGGCACTCTCTTAAAGTTTTCATCCCATCCACGTTAGAGCTCACAATAAGACAATATCGTAAACTTTTGCACGTCAAGTGTCTCGTAATCAACAAGTAGACGTATATTAAGCCCATAATATGTTGTATCGTTACTAACTGAAAAATTTATCGCATTAGTATTATTTGATTTGAAGAATAATTCCAAACATTGAATCCTGTTGTATCTATCTAATAATGTTAAATTTTTTAGGAATCCAAGTCATGGCAGGAGCGTAGAGACGCTCTAGAACTTATCAGTAATCAGTTAAAAGTCTCAACTTTACCGAGTGGACTTGTCAGTCAGGTGACCAAAGGATTATGCCAAGTAAGAGTTTTCGCTGTTATGTTATATTTACGTTATTTTCATTAACAACAGAAAAAAATGGTACGAAGTAAATGTTAATGAACCAACTTGACAGCATAGTACTTTGTAGAAAAGTCCATCTATTCAAGTTGTCATACTTGAGAGCAGATATAAGAATAGAAAAGAATGTAATGCGACTGAAATCGAAAGGGAACCAGTAAGTGAAGATAAATGAACACTTGGAGAATCTAGAAGATAGCTTAAGACTGCACTAGTGTGGACAACTTTAGCTATGTCACAGAGATCCTTATCCCTCGAAATTCTTAAAATCAATAATGGTAATGGCAAGTAGTGTAGTATATAGAAAAATAATCCTGTCACAGATGGCAGGATATCGGTTAACCAGAACGAGCGTCCACTTCATACACCTACGACCACTAGCTTTGAACACAGACTATCTGTAGGTAGGACAGTTCATGAGAATAATATCGCTAAAAATATATTTGTTTACTGATGTTTTCTTTAGTGATACCTTGGTAGTTTTAAAATTTAAGTTATTGTAGGGTGTCGGGTTGATCTTTTACCAGTAGACCCACAGCTCGTGCAACAGTTACATAATAATGGTATGAATATTTTGACTGATAAAGATATCGACCTATTTAACGAGGTATCTGGAATACCGATGTTTCATAATCATGTGAACTTTTGATTGTTGGGGTTTTATTCGGTTTAGTGTCCAGGTTGTAAAATTTGCTTGTGAACTAGCGTTTTGAACTGGGAATATAATCTTTATACAATTCTTTGTCGAAAACTAATTTTAGTATTGAAACATATGAAGATGGACATGTGTGTTCAAACCAAGTTCATATTAAATGGCTGCAAGAATTCGGGCATTGGGTATATGGTGTTTAATATTATAAAAGATTTGTATTCGCCAACGAATGAATTATCGAACGACATTACTTTTACTGACGACTGACTACTTAACACAGCTAATAGCTTCATCAAAGTAATTTACAACGTCCTAACTTATATACAGTAACTTAATCATAGGTCATCAGCATAAGGTAATTTTCACGTTACCAAGTAAGTAGGTGAATTGGCAAAAATAAACCGTGAGTAGGTTCTGTTGGATTTGATAAGTGTGTAAATGTTTAAAAAGAGCATTTAATGAAATTGCCTATCATATTGATATAAGTATAAAACTTGGGCACTGTGGTAGAGTATAACTCCATTATGGATAAGATTTTATTTTGATAAATCACACAGTGTTGTACAATTATATTAAGTAATGATGTTTCGAGCACAAACTATTGCTCATAATCATATCAGTTGATATTTGGATTGCATTTTATTTGATATGAAATATCCTATATAGTTTTGGGAATTTTTCTGGTTGATTTCAAATTGTTTGATTCTATAGCATGTAGACCTGTAGATGACGATTTTTCAGGCTTTTTTAGTTTTATGGGATTGCTCGGTGGTCGAATAAAGGCTCTACAGTGTTAAATTTTTTCTTCTGAAATATATTGTCAATTTCTAGACTAGGTGTAAAAGTAAACCACGAAACATTCATCATTCATTTTATAACAATCTTTGTATTGTATGGAATCATTATTGTTGTAGAGTAAAATTGCATAATTATGCCTGGATTAAACCTGGAGCCGTGGCTCATTGGTCTACACTCTCGACTTCTACTCTGGGTCACAGGGTTCGAACCTTACTCCACCTACAGAGGTTTGGGCAACCAGGTCGTATCAATAATTTTCACGCAATGTATGTAGCTCATTGCGAAATGCGTTGAATCGCACGCGAGTGGTTATTGAGTGACATTTCTATTATGTTTTCTTTCTTACTTTCGAATTGATAACATATAGATGTTCGTCATGGTGTTGGAAATAGGAGTGGTTAGGAAGACATGCTTCCTGAATTACGCACTTGGTGAGAAAGAGGGCAGAAAGTGTGCAAGTGGTTTTATTCTATATCTCTCGTTGACTACAGATGTTCGCGTTCTATTTCCCGCATTGAGTAGTATCATATGGTTAGTGACGTTAGTGGTGTGGCGACTTGAACTTCCGCACATTTGTGCAAAGTTCTATGTCGAAAACAGACAGACAGATATGGTTAGTGATATGAGAGCTGGGCACTGCGCTCTAGGTAAGGAGAGAAAGTCAATCAATAAGACTATGAAGCTGTATCGACTGATATGCCTACAACACATGTTATGCAAGCTGAGCCATTGCGATCCTCGTTGGGGAATGCTAGATGATGTCAGATTAGGTTAGAAAAGAATTGGGAGTTATCGAATTAATACCCATGAAGTCTTTGACTGTTGGTTTGAGCTAGCCATGTTTGAAGAGGTGTATACTAGTGAAAGTCGTCGGGTTTCTAAATGCAATGGCTGATGACAGTTGGTTAGATGATGCGAAACCGAATGCATTCACTCTTTATTATCTCTGGGATAGATTAAATCCTGTTTTTTTCGTATCCTACATTTCTGTTGATTGCAGTTCTCTTGTAGCTCTTTTCTCTACCTTTGTGTGCAACATGAAGTGTGGCCACTTGAACTGTTGCACTTCTGTGTAAGGTTGTATGTTGAAACTCAGTCAGTCATTCTGTATCTTTAGTAAGTTATTTTTAATAATTCCCACTTTTAAAATCTTAATTGTACATATAAATGTAGTAACCGCCTGTTTCACTTCGTTAGTCATTTTTATCCTGTAAATAATCATCTGTTTGTTTGTTTGTTCACTTCTTTTCTGTTCAGGTGATTTCATCAGATAAACATTCAATGTTGGTGATTCGTGCAGCTGGTGTTCTACGTGAATTAGTTGAATCAGTTGGTAGTGGTTTTATGAGTCATGCAGAACGGGCTCTCACTGTTTGCCTGTTGAAATTCAAAGACAACAAAGCACATCTATCTGAAACCCTACGTTCTGCAACAGAAGCTATTGTGGATATGGTGAGTTCTGAGTAATTTTAAATATTTTAGTTATATTATTTGACGGATGTTGACTGGTAGTAGAATCCTGGATGCACCTTTCTGGGTCTCGTCAGCTGGACCTGCTTGCAGTCCTCAGAGTGATGATGTTCATTGTAAAGAGTGGGTGCCGGGTTGGAGTCTCAGTGGAAACGCGACCAGTCAGTAGGGAGGGATTGCAGGCACATCAAGCCGACGACTCCCGAATAGGGCAAAATGCGCATACTGAATTTCAATGCTAGTCAGTATCCTCCAAATAACATGTTATTCCTCGGATATTGTCGAAGCGTCCGTACTAGGATCCGACATGTCAACGGAGACTGAACATTTTGGTCCGTTATTATCAGTCAATGAGAGATACTAAATTGGGTTTAACAAATCTTAGTAATATGTTTATGTTCCGAGTAAGCAATGTTGATTTGATGCATTTAACTTGAATTTGCTGTGTTTCATAGAATTAATTTCTAGTGGTGAATAGTGTACTGTTTAATTCCCAATGTAACCTATTGTTTATGACTGTAATACTTGGACTTTAACAATAACTTTGAAAGCTCATTATCGTTTTGGATGTTGTTACTTCTTCGTTTCCTTACCACATTGTTTTTTACCCAAAACTTGTAGTTTATTCGCCACCATGTAAACCATCATTTCTATTTGTTAGTCCCTTTTATTGATTTTGAAGTTGCGATAATTTGGATTCCTGTTCAGTGTATGTCGCTTGTTGCGTCGTCATCGGATCTTGTCTATTTTATACAAAATGATTGATACAAGAAATCATGAAAAGTTTCAGATTTTTGACCACAGGTATTTTCCTTCAATCGCTCATGTTAGAAAGAACGTAGTAGGTGATCCTAGAGTCAGGCATATCGTCTAGATAGAAGTGTGGTGGGGTTGCTCATGATGCTATGAATCAGTGCTTAGATACTGTCAATAGTAGATGTATTCATTCTGATCGTCAAACTTCTGAGATTCTTCAATAATCTCACACTCACTCACTGGTTACATGCTTTGAATAGGGATGGAACAAGCATTTGGGCAGAATTATATGGACTCACCTTATTTTGTCGGTTCTTGTCGACTGCGTACAAGGTATAATATTTATTAGAACCAGTTATAATACAACTTAAAATACATTTTGTTTATCATCATTAATTAGTCCTCCAGTAAGAATTGTTGTAAGAAAGTCATGGGGAAACAAAACAGAAGGATGATGATAGAATTATCTCCAATTACTAGTATATATATATATATATATATATATATATATATATATATATATATATATATATATATATATATATATATATATATATATGGCGTTGAATTATCCGGCCGAAGCACTCCTAAACCTCTCTAGACCTATAACAAGACCGTGGAAGAGGGAAGGTTGGGCATTGAGGCTAGTAACGCCATCCCGTGAAAATAATTACCGCTGCTATCAAAACTTCAAAGCTCTAGTTTGAGGTCCACTGTTCCACTCGGAACGTGAAGGAATATATATCTTCTGTAATGGAAGTTTCTCATGAAAAATGATGAACGTTATTAGTGATAATTACGTAATGAGAGATAATAGAATGCAGTGGTTGAAATTCATAAGGTTGAAAAATCAAGTCTAATACGAAAGTGAAGAGAAAAACAGGTGGTTGGAAAGATGATGAAATCAGAAGACAGAGTTAGTAAGGAGAGAGTCCTATGGGGTAACTGAAGTCTCACGATGGATTCATTTGGAACATATAGGTTAGGTTTCAGTCATCTTATGGTGATAGCTTCAGAAAACCGAAGAATACTTGAACTGTTTTGTCCGTCAACTATTTTGAATGCTGTCAATGTGTCCACTTGATGTCCTCTATCTATTAGGTGTGTTTGGTAATTGAGGAGTTCAAACTACTCGGTCCCTTTAGTCGAAGGCTCTTTAGTTTATTTTCAAGAGATCTGACATACGTCATTGTTTCTGTCCTGTCAGTGTAACTGCACCTCCAGTTACACGTGAGTCGGTATGCACAGTTAGTGGTAAAATATGGAGGGTGCTTGTCAGTTTTTGACCGTTCCAGCGAGCAAGATGTTCGAAGTAAAGAGACTAGTATTATGTTGCTGCTGCTGAGTGGTTAATAGTAGTTTTCCCCGTCGCCAAATTGTTATGTACTCGTCGCTAAATTATTGCTATGTACTGGTCGAGAATTTAATAGTCCTGACGCAAGAAGGCGGAAATCAGAAGACCACTAGGTTTGCAATGATACTTCTATTTTCCAAACACAAGGAGAATGCAAAAGTGGTATCACACCAAAGTAGTCACACAAGATTGTGAGAGCGAAATATGTATGACCATCCAGACAAATGTGTGAACAAATCAATAGACAGTCTTAACATGAATGGCTAATTATAATGGAGTATCGATCCATAAATACATAGCAAAATATAGCAGACATGTCAACAACCACACATATAATATGGATATCTGTCACCAAGCAACGAACTTTCAACAAACACTCATATTATATATAATATAAGGGGAATATACATTGTTCAAGGAGACAGGTTCATCAAAGTGAAATGGTCACAGACTAAGCGAGCAAACAGAAAGAGAGACCACCATACACACATAGATGCTAGAACACTTATTCCGGCGAGCTCCGAATTCAATGAGGAGCGAAAGCTGCACAAAAGGAAACTTACTAAAAGTCTCCGCAAGGACCGTGAACAGTGGTGGCTGACAAAGGCAAAAGAGATGGAAAAAGCATCGGCGATAGGCAACACTAGGCAACTCTTTAGACTCATCAGGGAAACGGCTGGGAGAAGGCAAATCATAAGTGAGACTATTTCTGAGAAAAATGGCTCCTTAATTAGCTCTCAGGATAGACGCCTTGAACGCTGGAAAGAACACTTTGAGGGACAATTTAACTTGCCTACAGCCACACTGAACCTCCCCGACATCCAGCACACACCCGAATGGGATATAGACACTGGTCCGCCGTCTGTAAGTGAGGTCACAAAAGCTATCAGTAATTTGAAACGAGGCAAAGCGGCAGGACCCGACGGAATTATTCCGGAGGTGTTTAAATATGGGGGTGACATACTAGTTTGTAGATTAACTGAGGTACTAGGCAACGTCTGGGAATCAGAGACAGTGCCATCAGACTGGGGTAAGTCACTTATTATACCGATATTCAAGAAGGGAAACAAGTCCTCGTGTGATAATCATAGGGGGATCAGCCTAACGAACATAGTCTCTAAAATCCTAGGCTCAGTAATCATGCATAGACTAAGCAGAACTCGGGAGGAACAGACAAGGGAAAATCAAGCAGGCTTTAGACCAGGTAGAGGGTGCATAGATCATATCTTCACTCTTCGACAGATTCTAGAACATAGACACACTTTTCGGCGTCCAACAATTGTCATATTTCTTGACTTGAAGGCGGCCTTCGACTCCGTGGATCGAAAGGTACTATGGCAATGTCTGACTGTGAAGGGAGTGCCAAGAAAGTACATTGCACTAATCAAGGCACTCTATTCAAACTCACGTAGTCGTGTAAGGGCTTATGGGGAATTGTCATCTGAATTGGTAACAACCAGTGGTGTCCGACAGGGATGTCCACTTTCCCCATTTCTGTTTAACTTCATCATAGATATGCTGATGGAAGTATCCTTAACTGAACGTAATGACTTAGGAATCGACTTGTTACCAGGGAATAGTCTTATGGACTTAGAATATGCAGATGACATAGTCCTGTTAGGGGAGGATGCTGACAAAATGCAGAGTCTTCTGAACACCTTGAGCAGCAATCTTCGTATGTTTGGCATGCGATTCGCCCCTACAAAATGTAAGATGCTGCTACAGGACTGGACCACGTCAACTCCTAACTTAGTGATAGGGAGTGAAGTGATAGAACATGTTGACCACTTCACCTATTTGGGAAGTTGTATTAGCACCAACGGACTGATTGGCGATGAAATCTCAGCACGGATCCGAAAAGCTCGAGCTGCTTTCGCTGACTTACACCATCTCTGGCGTAGGCGTGACATCCGGTTATCAACCAAGGGACGTGTGTACTGCTCATCAGTTCGCTCCGTCCTTCTCTATGGCTCTGAAACATGGCCAATACGCGTTGAAGACATGAAAAGGTTGACTGCTTTCGATCATAGATGTCTGCGATCTCTGTCTCACGTTAGGTGGTTTCACAAGGTAAGTAATGTTGACGTTAGGCGTAGAGTGTTGGGCAAAGAGGGAAAATCAATCGACGAGGCTATAAAGTTACATAGACTAAGATGGCTAGGTCACGTGCTGCGCATGCCTAACCACCGCCTCCCCCGACGGGCATTGTTAGCTGATATAGGTTCAGGTTGGAAAAGAGCCAGTGGTGGCCAAACAAAAACATGGCCTCATCAATCCATGAAATCCTTGACAGTTAAACTGAGTCAGGTAGGGAGATGCAGACTCCCGGGTTGGGGCCCTCGGGACTCTAGGAATCAATGGCTGGAGACAATAGGTGACATGGCTCAAAATCGTTGTCAATGGCCAGCGCAGATGTATTCAGTCTCTGTAATCTTTCATATTCCTTTCTACCATTACCCATTCTGTTTCACTCTTATACTTGTCAAACTCTATTGATTCTCTTCACTCATCTTCTTGTCTACCTCTGTGTGCTATTTGGAACGTGGCAACTCGAACTGCTGCACTTCGGTGCCAAGTTCTATGTTGAATCCAGACAGACAGACCATAAACACACATATATATATATATATATATATACATAAATGGATACATATCACCTCCCCTTTTGAGAAGATTGATGATTAGTAGGATGTTTTCCTGGGGGTTTATCTGGAACCTTTGGGCTTGTTGTTGACGTCTGTCGTTTCGTCTGCCTGTTGGGTTTGCGGCTTCGGCTTCGTCCGGAATTGTCTGACATTTTATGCTTCTTGACCGCATTGCATAGCGAATTTAGTGGGACATCAGCCAGATGCAAACGATCGAACCAATCAAGTCCCAAAAGATTTAAATCACTCTTGGTGACGTAGCAAATTCCTGTGAATTTGGTATTGCGGAAGGAAACAGAACATTTGAGTTCACCAATTAGTTTGAGGCGCCCACCACAGGCGCTGAGAAGAGTCTGGGAAGTATTTGCGATTGGTGGTCTGCCAATATTATTCCAAAGTTTCTCTGATATAACCGTAATATCAGAGGCGGTATCTAGCTGCAGACGTGCATCATAACCATTCATCTGAAGATCAAGATATTTCCGCATACATGGAGTTATGACTTGACAGGTTGCGAGTAGACTCAATGATCTCCTTGGAGATTTAGGACCAACAGTTTGTCGAGCTTTTGCTGGATTATGATATCTGAGTTGGCGTGGCTGACAAAAACCATTTTTATGACCGATGATTTTGCACTTGCTGCAACGATGATTTTTGTACGGATAAGACTTTACAAAGTGCCACGCGCCACAATGCCAGCATGGTGATGGTGGGGTCTTCTTTGCAGTATTTTGTGAAGTTGGACGAGTATGTGTAGATTTCCGCGGAACATTAGAAGAAGGTGGGTCAGGAGTGGATGATGAGAGATTTTTGCTCTTTCGCAATGCATGAATATCAGAGCTTCTCGAAGGTGTTGATTCGACCAGGTGTGTGTCTTTCTGCAAATTAATCAGCCGTTGATATTCATCAGCTATGTCATGTAATGTTAACTTGGGATTTTGTTCTAGCTGATTGAGCAGTCGAGTTCGGATATCTGTGAAACGAGGAGATTGAAGACTGCATATGAGAATCAAGGCTTTGAATTGATCATCTGTTAAGGACCTGAGTCGAAATCTCTCACATTCTCGGTTGACTGTGCCAACGTGAGTAAGAAAATCATCATTTTCATTCATTGTCAGCTTGAGGCAACGATAACGTATGCTGAATAATGAGGAGTGGTCTCCAAAATGTTCACGTAGCAGCTTTATTGTATCATCGAAACACTTGTCACGTGGTTTCTGGGTTAAAATTAGGTTGCAGTACCGTTCATATTCTGCGGGACCCAATTTACGTAACAACACTCGCACCTTCCAAGCATCGTCTTGTGAGGCGAGATCAACAGTGAATAAATCCTCATAACGTTGATACCATGTGTCAAAAGTGACATTAGCATCTGGATTATAATTGAACTGTGAAATACTATTCACAATTCCGTCGACAGATGGTAGCATGGTATGGTTCGGATTGCTTGAAGGTGAAGCTGGACCAGTCTGTTGGTTGACGAACATTTCCATTAATTTCATTTGTTGTTCAAATAGTAATTCCAATTTAGAAGGATCCATAGTTTTCCCCGTCGCCAAATTGTTATGTACTCGTCGCTAAATTATTGCTATGTACTGGTCGAGAATTTAATAGTCCTGACGCAAGAAGGCGGAAATCAGAAGACCACTAGGTTTGCGATGATACTTCTATTTTCCAAACACAAGGAGAATGCAAAAGTGGTATCACACCAAAGTAGTCACACAAGATTGTGAGAGCGAAATATATATGACCATCCAGACAAGTGTGTGAACAAATCAATAGACAGTCTTAACATGAATGGCTAATTATAATGGAGTATCGATCCATATATACATAGCAAAATATAGCAGACATGTCAACAACCACACATATAATATGGATATCTGTCACCAAGCAACGGACTTTCAACAAACACTCATATTATATATAATATAAGGGGAATATACATTGTTCAAGGAGACAGGTTCATCAAAGTGAAATGGTCACAGACTAAGCGAGCAAACAGAAAGAGAGACCACCATACACACATATATATATGTAATATATATATATATATATGTGGATACATATCAACTAGTTTTGCTGCTGGGTACGTCGTAGTCATTGCTATACATGAAGGTTTATTTATCATCCTCATATAATCATCGCCTTTGGAGTCAAGTTGAATGAAAATCGGTTTCTTGCTATCTGTAATGATTTTTGTATTCTTTCTTATATTTGTTGGTGAAACTTTTTTAGTAACCATTTTCTTTTGGGCATTTTTGAAGTAATGGCAATTCAGTGTCTAATTTGTCTGGTGAACATTTTCGTTTTGCTCCAGAGAACAGCGTTTCCACCAGCTTTCGTTTATAGGCGGCTTGGCAGAAACTTGAAATTCAGGTAAAGACGCCCGCCAACTCGCGTGTCCCGGATACAAATTAATTTCTGAGTACTCCGTGTTTTCTTTTCTTCAAACTGATATCCAGGAAGTGGAGATTGCCACCATCTTCGTGTTACATTGTGAAGTAGAGGCTTTCATGTAGATTGTTAAATAATATTGTTAAATGACTCAGATCACTGCATAAAATGAATATGTTATTTAAGTATCTGCAGTAGGTTATTGTTTGGTCAGCTGCACACTTAAGCCATAGAAATATCTGCTAATACAGAACGAAACAGACTTATTTGTATTGTAATTTCGAAACTGCTTCAACACTACGGAATGCAATTCCGCAAACCTATGTAAACAGAAAGCTCAACATAGCTTTTAAAGTGAAGAAAGCAGTAAGATTTGATTTACATGCGAAAGCCAATGAGTCGGCTGTAGTATCAGCGAAGAAAGGAATTCAGAGCACAGAGAAGACAAAGGTGATGAAGAAGCGACAAATAACAACAACTAGCACCATCCACCATTGAGAGGAGGAATCTAAAGAAAGTAATCTCATTCACTTACCCGATCTGGACAGCATCGTCGTGAGAATATTGATAATCTGTAAGCCGACCGGGATCAGGAAAGGAAGACAGGCATTCTTAATCTAAAATCAGTGTGGAGATATACAGTACTCAGTTCAAGGAGCAATATCCTAATTTTTAACCCTAATGTCGATTCAACTGACATATGCATTACCAAAACATTTTCAGTCATTTGCTGCAGACTTTCATAAACACCTGCGTTCGCTCAGTATTGAAGATCAGATGACGAGGAAAGTTAAGAAACAAGTATTCTGGCGGCGAGCTGATTAACAAGCTAATGATCGATAAATGTATAGAAGTGAATGGAGGTGGGTGATACGTAAGCTGAGGATACCTTCAAGTGACATTACACTACAGTCTTCTGTGTGAAATACGGATGAGAAGTGGCTGATTGAATGTCGATAGGTGACATGTAGGAGATCATATGGCGAGGAAGCGAGCGTCTGTGGACAGTTACGAGGTCGACTGAAACTGACAGCAGAGAACGGATTGCGACTGAAGCCTTATTTTTCAATGATAACCTAATGAATGAATGAATGAAAGCGATACTTATTTGTTAGAATACGTCTTAAACCTTTCTTATCATCACAACGTAAGTGGTTGACAGTGTGTTGGAGGGTTTGATGGCGAAATGGTGGTGCTGCTGCCAAACAGAGATGTAATAGTAGTTAGGTGTTTCCCCCGGAGGACCAACAAGGCAGCTGTGTTGCCCGTCCTCTGTGGGCAGACGAAGCGATCTGTAACCGGTGGTAAGATCTCCATTCAAATACGACTCCAAAAACCACTTCGAACAGAATATGTGTAGTCAGCCTCAAGCAGTTGTTTCCAGGGCTCTGCTGTCATGCAACAACAATGCTCTTCTTTTCTGTATGGTTTCCAACTTGCAGCTGAAATCACTGGTTTGAATGTGAAATTTACAGAGATATCATATAAAGAAGAGTTTTTCCTAGAGGCTGAATAAACTATATGAAGAAGAGACTCATGTGTTATAGTAGGTTGTCATTTATTCCCACTTTTATTCTTCTTTTCTAACGAAAGTATTTTTAAAATATTTCACTAAGAAGCATGTATATATTCGCCATGTTTATCTCTATGAAAATTTACTTTTAGATGCCTTTTGATATAGCCTTAAGACAACTACAAACTGCTTTAACTACTCCAGTGGCAAAAACACAAGCTGAAACATTAAATCTGTTAACTCATCTCTTCCGTACAAGCAAACGAAAGTATGAGCTTCAATTGAATCAACGGTTAAAAATTGTTAAACCAATTCTATCTAATACAGCGAAATTCTCTGAGCATAAAAGTCAAGAATGTCGAGATGCTTGTTTTCAAATGTTTGCTTCAATTTGTATCTTTTTGGATTTTACTAGTCAACAATTCTCTTCTATCATTGATAATATACTGGATGAATCACGACGTTCTAAGTTAGATATTGCCTTATTGCATTTACGTGAAAGTATATCAACTGAAAATATTGATAATGAGCATAGAAACTCAGAAAAAGCAAATAAAACAGTAAAACCTAAAAGTTCATCCACTGAACAACAACAAAAACGACGACAACAACAGCAACAACAGTTGGTAGATAATCCTGACTTTAGCATTACTCGTAAGTTGACTTTTTTGTAAGTATAATTCAGAGAATATTTCCAACTGAAAGTATATCACTGCAGACTATGTGTCAAATTCGATGTATATATGTGCAGACATTATCAGTATAAGATCTAGTATTATTGCGCAGGATTTGAATTCACCACATCATAGAAATATGACTACTTGAGTTTCTACATGAAAGTTTGCACCTAAGTATTCAGCACTTCCAGTTGCCACACTTTACATGTAACGCACAAAGTTAGAGAGAAGATTACAAAAGAAATTCACAAAGAACTATAAATATATAAAAAGGAATAGTAACATGGAAGAAACAGGAGGTTTTAATGGATCTTGGAGATAACAAAGTGTGAATGCATCTGTACCACTAAGAATGGTTTTGCACCATCTAACCAACAGTCTCCAGGCAGTGGTTCTTTGAATCCTTGAGGACACCTCAGCTAGACAGTGACTGGCTCAAACGAACAGTCAAAAACTTGATGGACTGATGCCAGTCATAAAAATATAAAGCAATGCAAAGGTAGTATGAAGAATGAAAATAATGCAATCAAGAGTTGTAGGATTTCGTAAAGTTCAAAGAAAAGAGAAAAAGATAAGAACATAGCCAGACTCGATATGCGAGCTCCGAATTCAATGAGGAGCGAAAGCTGCACAAGAGGAAACTTACGAAAAGTCTCCGCAAGGACCGTGAACAGTGGTGGGCGACAAAAGCCAAAGAGATGGAGAAAGCTTCGAGGATAGGCAACACCAGGCAACTCTTTAGACTCATCAGGGAAACGGGTGGGAGAAGACAAATCATTAGTGAGACAATCTCGGAAAAAAATGGCACTATAATTAGCTCACAGGATAGACGACTGGATCGTTGGAAAGAGCATTATGAGGAGCAGTTTAATTTGCCCACAGCCACGCTCAACCTTCCGAGCATCCAACACCTCCCTGAATGGGATATAGACACAGGTCCTCCGTCACTAACTGAGGTTACTAAAGCTGTCACCAATCTGAAACTAGGCAAAGCAGCGGGACCTGATGGAATGACTCCAGAGGTATTTAAGTACGGTGGAGACAGCTTACTGTCCGGATTAACTGAGGTACTAGGCAGCGTCTGGGAATCAGAAGAAGTCCCATCGGGTTGGTGTAAGTCACTGATTATCCCCATATACAAGAAGGGAGACAAGTCTTCCTGTGATAATCACAGAGGGATTAGCTTGACTAATATAGTATCTAAAGTCTTAGGCTCAATAATCATGCGTAGACTGAGTGGTGCTCGGGAAGCACAAACACGAGAGAGCCAGGCAGGCTTTAGACCAGGAAGAGGGTGTATTGATCATATCTTCACCCTCCGACAGATTCTAGAACATAGGCATTCCTACCGGCGTCCAACAGTCATTATATTTCTTGACCTAAAGGCAGCATTCGACTCTGTCGATCGGGAAGTTCTCTGGAGATGCTTGGCTGTAAAGGGAATTCCGAGAAAATATATTGCACTGATTAAGGCACTCTACTCGTACTCATACAGCCAGGTGAGGGCTTACGGCGAGCTGTCATCTGAACTGATGACGACCAGTGGTGTCCGTCAAGGATGCCCATTATCTCCTTTTCTATTCAACTTCATCATAGATGTGTTAATGGACTTAACCCTAGGTGACTTCAGCGACTCAGGGATTGACTTGCTACCGGGGAATAATCTCGTTGACTTGGAATATGCAGACGATATAGTCCTTCTAGGCGAAGACGCTGACGAAATGCAGAGTCTTCTAAACACCTTGAGCCGCAATCTACGAATGTTTGGCATGCGATTCGCTCCCGCCAAATGCAAGATGATGTTACAGGACTGGACTACATCGACGCCTAGTTTAAAAATAGGAAGTGAAGTGGTAGAGCACGTTGACCGCTTCACTTATTTGGGAAGTACCATCAGCCCCAACGGGCTGATCTCTGACGAAATCTCAGCACGAATACAAGGGGCTCGTTTCGCATTTGTTAGTTTACGCCGACTCTGGCGTAGACGAGATGTTCGACTATCGACCAAAGGGCGGGTGTACTGCTCATCAGTCCGCTCCGTCCTCCTTTATGGCTGTGAGACCTGGCCACTGAGAGTGGAAGACATGAAAAGACTAGCTGTCTTTGATCATAGGTGCCTGCGTTCTATTTCCCGTGTAAAGTGGCATAATAAGGTGAGCAACATGGAGGTTAGGCGTAGAGTTCTAGGTAAACAGGGGAAATCAATCGACGAAGTCGTGAAGCTACAAAGACTGAGATGGTTAGGACATGTGTTACGTATGCCAAGCCATCGCCTCCCTCGACGAGCAATGTTAGCGGATATAGGGTCAGGCTGGAAAAAAGCTAGCGGCGGTCAAACAAAAACTTGGCATCAGTCAATGAAATCCACAACAGTTGGTCTAAGCCACGTAGAAAGGTGTAGACTTCCAGGCTGGGGTCCTCGGGACGGTAAAAATCTATGGTTGGAAACAATTGGTGACATGGCTCAAAATCGTTCTCAGTGGCGCAGATGCATCCACTCCCTGTGACTTATGATCTTCAATGAAACTGTTTTGTATTTCTTTATTACTCCTTTGTCTCACACCTCTGCTCACTGTTTCTATTATGCTTTTCTTGTACTTTCTTCTCTTGCTTCGCGTGCTACACGGAGTGTGGCGACTTGAACTTCCGCACATTTGTGCAAAGTTCTATGTCGAAAACAGACAGACAGGATATGCGATATAAATGTTTGACAGTATTACTGTGATGTGTTGTAAGTAATATGAAGGTGTGCTTTCAGCGCATTTCACAGACAACAACGTTCTAACTAGGCGAAACTATGACATTTATTTTATCTGTAATGGCCATGTTCCACAGAACATACTGTTAAACAGTGCAATTTTCCTGATTCATTGAGGCTCAACTGTCAAATTGTTCTAAGAAATTTAAAGTATCTATGGTCTGGATGTTTATTATTTCGCACTAGAATATCACGACGTCCAATTTGAAACCTGTAAATAATAATAATAACAAAATAGATGAGACCATGGATACGTGTTTCTAAAGAGTCCCAGAGCAGTCCAGTACTCCTTGGTGTTCTTCGGTCAATGATTTCTTAGTTGATGTCGCTCCTTGACGACATCTGCATTGAAAACAATCAAATGCTTACAAACCCTAAATCTGAATATGCATCCAGATAGCCAACAGGTACATCATCTTTTATTTTTGTTTTATGTATACATGCACGGAGTTCATTATTGGCAGTATCATTTATATTCTCATCAATAAAAATTGCGATTGAGAAATGAGTAACCAAAAGTTTTGAACTTGAGTTTGTGATTTAAAAATATTTTATACTAGAAACTTGTTTTTATTTTTTTTTAAATATTTCCTGTTTCTATCTCTCTTAAAAATTCAGCCATAAAATCGTCACCTCGAATAGTGATGAATAAGTTAAGTAAAAGAAACAAACAACTGAGAACATTTCAAACACAAAATCATTTATCGACGAGTACACCATTTTCAGAAGTCCGTAAGGTGGGTTCTCACAATGTTAAACAGAATAATAAGGTATTAACACCTAGTATAACAGAGGTGTCTATGTCGTTACAACGTGCAGGAGCAAAACAACCGTCAGCAGTGGTTACAAAGAAAGCTGTGAACAGCAGAAGGGTTGTCCAATCAAAAGCTGAAAAGTGTATACCACAAGATTTGAATTTGTCGTCTGGTCAGCTACGGTGTAAGCTGTCAGAGTAAGTTGCATATAAATTATGCACATGTAGAAAAATGCAAAGCAAGTTAATATAGGATTGTATCTGTTGTGTAAACTATTTGAGAAAGTTTTGCCCAATCGGAATCCATTTATAATTTCCGTGGTCTATACTCTTTGGATACAGAGAATTCTATAACAAGTAATGGAGAGATAATTTCTGACGGTATTTTGAGCAGCAGCACAGGGTGTTCACAGTACCTTTCAACAACCGACAACAGTGATAATTCATTCTTATTATTCACTGGGGTCACTTAGTGGAAGGTGAGGCTTCAACAGCACATCTCATTTTCGTTCTGTTCACTGCAGTTTTTTCATTATTGGCTTGACAATTGCCAAAGGATTTTATTTCCTCCTCACACGATCATTTCTACTGTCACTGTGGGATGCCGAATTTGTGGTCCACTCGAGAGTCTTGCCCGTGATGTTACTGAACAATTTCGTCTGCGTATCTCCAGTCCATTTCCGTTTCCTTTTGTATACTTGTTAGGTGATAGACTCTTGGTTGGTTTGATGCCAGAGTTACTTGTTGATTATGCTCTTATTGTGACCGTCAGTGTCGATGAAAGTTTGCAGTCTGTTGGAGGTGCTCCTCATGACACGCCAGGTTGGTGAATAATAAAAAGGTAGTGAGTGAATTGACATAAGGACTGTGAATTCTGATTTTGTTTCTTGTGTTAAGTGTTATTGATCTCGTAACTGATTTTAAAGTAATGATGAACCCCTGTCTTGGTTTCCTGAACTAGTCTGTCTGTGACATGCTTATCCGTACCGCCTATGATTGCAATGATGCTACTGAGGTAAGTGGAAAACTCCAGTTTCTTTATATATCTCCTGTAGATTGTGATTGGTACTTGTTGTTGTTGTTGTTGGTTAGATATCTTCACCACCTCTATGTTTTCTGTGTTCACTTGAAGAACCTCTTTCACTGCCTGCATCGTCTACGAGCTTTGGGGGTGTTTACTTATATTGTCTTCGAGTTTGTTGGACAATGTCTTGATATTCTAGAGTGTTTTCTGTCGGTCCAGCCATCTTCTCTCTCCCCAAGCCGATAAAAATGACTGACTCAGTGTTGACGTTGCTTAAAACTGATTTATTCACCGTGTACTCCAAATAGCGGACACTTAAGGGTGGAGATTCGGAGTGAGTGAGTATGTAGAAGTTTCTAAGAAAACATAAAAAATATCCAACCACTCTCCATTTTTGCTGGTATACTTCATTAATTAGGTGTAGGGGAACCTTTGCAAATATGCCAACACTAAAAAGAATAATGATTTCATTCTTCCTCATTTTTAGAGGATATTTAGAGGATGTGCCACTAGAACAGTTACTTAGTCCCACATGGAAGATTCGCCTACAGGTTGCTGAACGCATTCATTCTATGATCAATTCTAAGCCACCAGGATTTCCTGATGTGCATTATTTATTGCAGTACATTTTAAACTGTGGTACTGTGAAAGACAGCATCTTCCGTGTAAGTCATTTTTATTTTAAGTGTTTTGTTGTGAATGCCTTTATGTTATTTATTCTCACATGGGATAATAGGAAATCGAAGCTATTCCAGCTATAAGTAGAAATGGGTGAGATCTATTTAGAATATCTTTGAAAAAGTATCGTATTTTGTTAGACTATTTGAGGTGCTTTTGAGGCAACTATTTTATCAGTCATTTACATCTCGTTTTCATTCCTTTGCTTTCTGAGTGGAGCATGGGACTTCAAGGTTTGAAATCTCACCAGCAGTGGCGCGCCTAACCTTCCATCTTTTCCGGGCTAACCATCAGCCTTTAAGCCAGATGAGGTTTAAGTGTGCATTGGCTGGGAATCTAGTCATTTGTATACTACATACTTGTTTCCCATGGTGATTATCTCAGTTTTGACGTTATCAAACGATGGTAAGTTATGAATTCGTGTACTCCAGAAAGCCTGAATAAATTCCGTTATACTGTTATTTATTCTAGCAAATATATTGTTACTTTTTGGGTGTCGAATGTCAGTGTCAATTTTACCACGAAGTAGCTTAGCTAGAGACCTATAGCAGGCATGGCAGTAGTAGTATTAGACAACTGTTTCGTCCAGTTTTTGAATTCGTCACCAGTGTCCATCCAGAAGTTCACTATATATTGAACTGATGATTGGCTAAATAATGAAGCGCTTGTTCGAAATCTCTGGACCCTTCCTATCCTTAGTTAGGTTGTGAATGAGCACTTCCGTTGGGTCTCAAACTAGAAGGAAATAGGTGTCAATGACATTCATTTAGTTTCGCAGTGATTCGTTCACTGTGGTTGGCTGGTGACGAAATCTACATTGAAATTTGTCATTTTGTCACTTATTAATTAATGTATAAGAATATCAAAGCAAACACAATCTTTGATGCAATTTGATCAATAGTTGCTCTTTGAATTTTAATACTGCCATTCGAATAAACAATAGTCGGAGCGTACCGAATTTAGGTGAACTGAAAGCATTAGATTGTATTCTTTTTAAATGATGAAGAATATGTGTAATTGGGGATGTAAAAGCAACATATAAGATGTAAATTGCTTCTCCTTACCAGTATTTAACTAGCAACCGTCTTTTTCCATTCATTTGCAGTCTGAATCATACGTCGGGCTTCTAGCTTGAGCTATAAACTCTCAGTAGCGATAGTTTTGTATTATTTTACTGTATGGGTTTGGTAGCCTCACTGCTAACCATCCCCCTTGACTACTGGATTTACTGCTGGCTAAATGAGATTTAGGAATGTGTTGGCTAGAAGTCGAATTTGGATAACGTGTATGGTTAGTGAGCATGCTACGTGTGAACGAACCACCGACGTGTCCATCTTAAGATGGTTATAACTGATTACATGCATAGTGCCATTGAGTTTGTAGCATTTTTCATAAGGTGGGAAAATCTGTATGCAGTGATAAACCGTGCTGACTATCAACTGTGCATAATAATAAATAGTGCTAGGAATTTCTAAGATTAAAATCACTTTTCACTCTTCCTACTTTCAGGTTCGTTGTGAAGTAATAAATATTTTATCACAGTTATTATCGAAAAATAAGTCTCAAAATTGGATCCCTGCTCAGTTGTTAGAAATGTTATGTGACCAGTTATTCGTTTCAATTGGTGATTCTAAATCAGGTCCTCTAGTTGAACAAACCCTCCGACACCTGATGGATACCATAGGAGTATCGAAAATTGTTGAGTGTATTAATAAAGGATTGAAGAAACAGGTGTCTCCTACAGTTTGTTGTTCATTATTAAAATGGTTGAGTTCAGTGTTGAAGTCCCTAGACTGCAGGTAAGATGTTTTATACTCACTCAGTGTTTTTCAATACAAGAGACTGAAATATTGTAGAAAGTGTTTGTCTATAACCAATCTCTCATTGGTTAACTGTTTAAAATGTGTTCTTTCTTCTTTCCGTTGTAAGTTGCGTGTAATATCTCAGAGTAGCTGGTTCCGATAGGTTTATGGATGCCAAATGAGCTTTTTGTGTCGGTGCTGAGATTTCGTCAGCAATGAATCGATCAGGGGCTGATACAACACTCTCAATACTTGGAGAACAGTTAACTGACCGACCTACAGCTTGACTGCAGTTAGCCGCAGTGGCAAACTCATCTGAATAGATTGTTGCTACCTGTCGTCTAACTGCAACCGAGACCTCTTATCTAAAAGGAGTCAAAGCAGCAGGACTTGATGTTCTGTCTGCAGAGAGGTTTGAGGATAGAAGAGTTAAGTGTATGAAGCTAAGGACCTGTGGTGCTATTTATTTTTATCGTTGTGTAAAAGGCAAAGATGAAATAGGACACTTCAACACTGACGAAAACTATGTATTCATTGAAGAGAAGCTGAAAAGTCCTTACTAAACACTACTTTTTGAGGTGTTATTGTTTGATGAGTTTACTGTGTTTAGACGACTTCATCTGTTACTGTGTTCTGCATACCGATTAGTTGAACTGAAGGAAAGGAATTTTACTGCTATTCTGTTTAATACCACTGCCTTGTACACCGCTTGTATATGGCCTAATAATGCATCCCCTATCATTGCTGATTTGTTTTTGTAGTGAGATGGTCTTTGGGATCAATTAATGCTTATATTTTTCATTTATTTACAGTTTCGACCATGTGTTGCCTATAGAAATAGTAAAATTCGGACTTGCATCTTCTTCACCTAATGTACGTAATATAGCAGTTGAATTGGCTGGTGTCATTCATTATCGTTTACGTTCTTCGATGAATATTCTTTCGTTGTTTGCATCTGAAAAACCAGCGATATTACAACGTTTACAAGCAGAGTTTGCTACGTATGATGTAGAAGAAGAAGAGAGTGTTGCTTCACCTGAACATATAAAAAATGACGGGTCAACTTTCTCTGGTATGGAATGTCTTACTCCAGCTGCTGTTACGGCATGGTCAAAAAGACAAAAAAGGTTGACAGCTGTGCTAGATGTGGCTCCTTTAGACAGGCTTATTGGTGCTCAAGGTGTTTTAGAATTTTCTGATTCTAGTGAGAGTCCATTTACGGGCAGAAAATCATCACCTTACAAGTGAGATAGTGTGAATAATTTTGTTTTTTGCTCTTTGAAATATGCTGTTATTTGTAGCTGTTTTATTTCACTTTGTCAAGGAAATAAGACGTTTAAAACTAACTTTCCGGTCACATGAAATCCTTCATTGCCTATAGGTTTATTATAAATCCATTGAAAGGGATTAGTTAAAATCGTGATGGGGATAGTACTTGGCTATACACATCGAATTGCACTGATGACACCTTCCATTTATTTTCGTGCATATGCGACTTGGATTTAAAAGTCTCTTTTTATCAAGAAACAGCGGTTATTACTATTTAACGACGCAATGTGCAGGGGGATGAAGGGTTTTAATTAAATATGATGGAAATTTTTATTCGACTTGAAAACAGGCAGATGTGGTAGTTGAGTGTTCGCTTGATTGACAAGTATGAATGTGAGCAAAGAATAAGTGGTAAAATGCAGAGAAGGAATATGTAAAAGTGATAGTAGTAACAAATTACTAGAAAATGGAAACAAAGAAATGGGAAAGTGTTAAGACCATGGTGTAGATATTGAAAAAGATTGATATTGATACGATATTGAAAAAGAGTTTCTTAAACAGAGTCAGGGGTTATATTAAGCAATCGCTAGCTTCTCTGCTATGCACGAGTGCTAAAAGGTAACACACTGGCGGAGTTCCTCCGGGGTTATCTTTTAAATTATCAATGAAGTGAAGTGGAATAGTATAAAGAGCCGCTTCAGTGTGTGTTGATGAATTCACGTCTTCTTGTGGAATTAGTTATACTAGAGCACACAAAATGCACGCCTTTCGCATCTGTGAAAGTAATTTTTCTTTCTTTCCTTCACGTTCCCCAGTGGAACATAGGGCTTCAAGCTAGAGGCTCGAAGTTTCTGTAGCAGTGGTGATTGCTTTTACAGGATGGGGTTGCTAGCCTCATGCCCAACCATTCCTCTTTACCAGGATTATTTCTGGCTTAGCGAGGTAACGGAGTGCGTCTGTGGCCGGGGATCGAACGCCGGACCATGTGCATGGTCGGTGAGCGTGCTAACCGGTATGCCACCGACGGACTCTGAAAGTAATTACTATTGAATAATTTTGAGATGTCAATGAGTTTGAGAAACTGGTTAAAGCATTTAATTGAAAATACTGAAGTAGTCCTTGTCCGTGAACGTCACCCCTGATCCTTCTATCAGGTCTCAATATAACGATTTTACTTACCGTTATTCTCGCTTATTCAAATTCATAAGGGGACATGATTGTATAGAAGTTGAGGTAGAATAAGAAGCAGACTAGGAGTTAAGTAGCCTATTGTGACTGGTAGTTTCATTTGTTGGAATTCATTTTGATGAAAGCCGTATATACAAGTAGTGCATACTGCTAGCTAGTAGTGAAGTATGAAGACGTGAAACTCCACAGTGGCATGTTTTTCCTTCCGTGTCCTAGACGGACCTCATCATTTTGGAATCAAAAAGTTGACGACTACAAAGATATGTATGTATGAAGTGGTCGTTTGTGTGATTGGTGTGTTTGTGTGTGTGTGTGCATAAATCGTTTGATAAGTAACTAACAATATGACTTTTCTGTGTACCGACCGTGATTTCCAATCAAGTATGCAATTTAACCACTGATTAATGAGCCTTCTTTATTCTCAGTACATAAACACTGTAGGGGCGCAGCTATATATTTTGTCTCTCCTGAAAAGTGTTATCTTGGTGGTCTACGTAGGTGTGTATAATTTTAAATTCCCCTTATAACATGCAATTCTCGAATGATAAATATAAAGATAAAATTCTTGAGGACAACGAAATAAAACAAATACACTATTTTGCCTACTTGATTTTATATTCACAGGAAAGGTGTTATCGAGGCTGTAGTTCGTCAACCTTTACAAGCTGTACACGTGAATTCCAATCAACCCCCTTCAACAACTCAGCCAACTAGTTTACCTGACTGTGACACTATTTTCTTCATTGAATCAAATGATGAGACCAGTTTACTGCAAGCCAAAGAAATGCGTTTGGCCAGTCTAAAAAAAGTGAGTACCCTTTTTCTCTCTCTGTGTATTGTTAATATAAAAGTGATATTATCAGTATCTTTTCCGTTTTTAACATCAATGTTTTTTTTTAAACTGTCATAGTGTGTGTTGTTAAGTGTGAAATGGTGGGTGCCTCTGTTAGTTATGCATTTTGTTTCCCAGTCATTCTCCGAAGATTTGAGTGTTTAGTTATGTCTTGTTTTCGTTAACTGCGTGGTGTTGTGGATCAGGGGTATATTCATATTCTGTGTTGTTCTATTCCATGGTGTTATGATCCAGAGGTTATTGTTTCTGTCAGTAAGTTGTTTCGTTTATCCTTCTATCTGAAAGCGACTGGTTAACTTTCCTTCAATAAAGTGAAAATGGTCAGCTGTCAATGTGATTATCATACTTGTGGAAAGTTTGTCGTATCTTTAATTTGTTAATTTCGACTATCAGTAAATCTGAATTTCCTATCTCCTGAATCGCCAACACCACCGGGTGCTTTGCTATCGTTGCATTATCTTTTGTTTTTCAAGTTTTGTTTGGCAGGATTCGATCGGTTTTATGTGAGGTCATGAATTGAAATCATTCAGAGAAATATTGACCACCGAGGAGTACTAGGTAGTTAAAAGTCAATCTGAACGGAGAATATTCTGTTCAATAATTTCTCTTCAGGTTCTTACAATTATAAAATATTTGTTATCGTTACAATAATGTGAGCCAGTTATGCGGCAGATACATGTTTTAACGTAGAATAACAGATTAGTTATGGGTTGTCAAAATGAATAGTCGTATTTGCGTGACAAACGTGCTAGGCTGAAATCGATTACCAAAATATTGTAAAACGGCAGAGAATAGTGTTGATTTATCGTAATAGATTTGTAGTGTGTGTGTGTGTGTGTATCCGCCGCATAACTGGCTCGCATTACTGTAACGACAACAAATATTATATTTTATAATTGTAAGGACCTGAAGAGGAATTATTGAAAAGAATATTCTCCGTTCAGATTGACTTTTAATTCATAATATGGGAATATTTCACACTATCAAATCTTACTAGATAGTTGTTTCATCGCAGTTTAAGACGCTTCATGGTCAATGGAACCCTTGACTTTCAGATTATGAGGTTAGCTCATCGACTATTCAGCCATTGGGGGGATTTATCTCTAACTGATATCAGTTAAATCCCTGAAAACCAACTCTTGAGAATTAAAGTAATTCCTAGTCATAATTGATTATGGGATGAGGTTTCCCAAGGATTGTAGCGAGAAGTCATGGAGACCTGGGTCCACCAAGTTGGTTGGGTGATGTAACAGATATACACATTGACGACATTGACTGGCTATGGTGCTTGCTGTATGTATCACTAATCGGCGGAAGTTAGGATTCATGGACCTATTGGATAACGTCCCAGTGACTTGATGGTTAGCATGCTGCCTTGATAATCTGGATGTTCTGGCTTCGATGCCTGGTTGAGTTGTGGGTGTTTACTGCTGAGGAGTCCCGAGGGATCCTCTAACTGGATATATCAGTTCACGATCCAACTTCAGTTCAGGGTTTTATCGTGATCTTTTCAGACTGTAGGTGGACATGCAAGAGATGATTACTTTCTATTGGGTAGTTGACTGTTTCAGCTGGAATTACAAAGAGTGTTTATGAACATTGTATTGTAAGTGTCTATTATTATTGATCTGTTTGTATACTTCCTTAAGATATATGTATATAAAGTAGTACTATTGGAGTCATATCTTCATCCCTGAATGAATCACCAACCATGATGAGTTAGCACACACAAACTCATGTGAAGTAATATGCATATTACTAGCCAGATACTAGCTTGTTAGGCTACCAGCTTACTAGTTTTCTAGCCGGTGCCAAGCCCGGGTAAAGAGGGAGGGTTGTGGCGTGGTGCTAGCAACTCCACCCTCGTAAAACAACCAAATCGCTACAAAAACTTCAACAAATAAATATATTAAAAATTCTAAAAACATAAGCAATAGCCTTACTTTTCGCTGGAATCGGGGAAGTGAAATGACGCAGGCTGGTGAAAGCCTTCGGGAAGCCAGTCAGCCGATGTGCCTTCTTTCGATGAAAGCAAAAGTAAGGATGGGTACCTGGAATGTTCGTACAATGTACGAAACTGGAAAGGCTGCCCAGATAGCCGCTGAAATGAGAAGGTACAGAATAGAAGTGTTGGGAATCTGCGAAAGCAGATGGAACGGAACTGGAAGGTGCCAACTACCAACTGGAGAGACAGTAATCTAATCCTGGCCGCCCCCAGAGGACAACTACGAACACACCGAGGGAGTGGCCATCATGATGTCACCAACAGCAGCCAAAGCTCTCATGCAGTGGGAACCAATCTCCTCCAGGATAATGACAGCCAGGTTCAACTCAAAAGGAAGGAAAGTTACAGTCATTCAATGTTATGCGCCTACAAACGTCTCAGAACAAGAGAAGAAGGAGGCGTTCTACAGACAACTACAAGCAATAATGGACAACGTCCCAAATGGCGATATCAAAATCCTGATGGGCGACATGAATGCGAAGCTGGGAGGAGACAACACAGGAAGAGAACTCACCATGGGTCGTGAGGCCCTCGGTGAAATGAACGACAATGGTGAACTCTTCTCAGACTTCTGCGCCTTCAATGATTTGGTGATTGGTTGTAGTGTGTTCAAACACAAGGATATACACAAGACGACATGGATTTCACCAGATGGAAACACCAAGAACCAAATAGACTTCATCTCAATTTCAAGAAAGTGGAGACGGAGCCTACTGGACACAAGGTCAAGGAGAGGAGCAGATGTGGGTTCAGACCACTATCTAGTAGAAGGGACTTTCAAGGTGAAACTAAAAGCCTCGAGGATAGCTGGGGATAGGCCACAATGCAAGTTCAACACTCAGAAACTGAAGGACACAACCACAAAAGACACTTTCACTGCAACTGTCAGAGCAAAGCAGGAAACACTACGCGACATCACTGAAGAATCATGCGTGGAAGAACATTGGAAGTCTCTGAAGGCGATTCTCAACGAAACGTGTTCAACGGTTCTAGGAAGAAAGAAGAGACAAGACAAGGAATGGCTCTCAACGGACACTTGGAAGCTAATAGGGGAAAGGAGAAAAAACGATTCAATGCAAGGACGGACAAGAGAAGGAGACGCTGAGCTCAACTTACACAGCACTGGACAAAGAAGTGAAGAAGAGTGCTAGGAAGGACAAAAGACGATTCTACGACAACCTCGCCACTGAAGCTGAGAAGGCAGCAGGCAAAAGGGACCTGAGGACACTATATCAGATAACCAAATCTCTATCCGGGAAGAGATCAACACAAGCGAAACCTATAAAAGACAGCCAAGGGAACCCAATTACCAAGGAAGAAAAACAGATTAAACAATGGGCGGACCACTTCAAAGGACTCTTGAACCGACCATCACCTGCAACCCGTCCAGAAATACCAACAACAGCGCGCACACAACTGCAAGTTGACACCAATCCTCCAACGAGAGCTGAAGTCTTGAATGCAATCAAGCTTCTGAAAGCTGGAAAAGCAGCTGGACCAGATGGAATACCCCGTGAAGCACTGAAAGCGGACCCAGAGACTACAGCAGACATGCTGACTCCATTATTGCAAAAGGTCTGGAAGGAGGGAAAGGTGCCTACTGACTGGAGGAAAGGTTACCTCGTGAAACTACCAAAGAAGGGCGACTCACTGTATACAGAACTCCACCAGAACAAGCTGGATTCAGGAAAGTCAGGCAAATCATGTTCTGACCAAATTGCAACTCTACGCATCATCATCACAGAACAAAGCACAGAATGGCAGCCAAACCTCTACCTCAACTTTATAGACTTCGAGAAGGCCTTCGACAGACAGTGTTGACCGTGAAGTCATTTGGAAACTACTCCACTACTACGGCGTACCCCAAATATTCATTAACCTTATTCAACAGCTAGCTGTACGACAACGGCACATGTCAAGTCATCCACAACGGAAAACTCAGCGAGGCGTTTGGAGTAAACACAGGAGTCAGACAAGGGTGCTTACTATCACCAATGATATTCCTAATTGTCGGACTGACTGGATTATGCGTCAGACAGTGTGTGGAAACGAGAAGAGGAGTATCCTAGACTGACGTGAAGAACCTAGAAGACGTAGATTTCGCGCGGCGATGATTTATGTTTGATGTCACACACAATCGAAGACTTACAAGCGAAAACCGACAAACTGGTCAAAGAAGCAGCCGGCGAAGACAGGACTCGAGGTGAACATAGACAAGAAGAAGGTGATGAAAATAACCAACCAACCAACAACAACAACAGAAACATCCAGCGCCAATCACCATCAACGGGAGGGATTTGAAAGAGTTTACTTCATTCATTCACTTATCTGGGGAGTATTGTCTCATCTACAGGAAGTCGGAACGGACGACGATGTCAAATCGAGCGAGAATCGGGAAGGCGAGAAACACATTCACTCACCAACCTGAAATCAATCTGGAAATCTTCGTCACTCAGCCAACATCAACAACAAAATTCAGTCGGATTTTCAATATAAACAACGTCAAGTCAGTCAGTTCTTCTATACGGATCAGAAGCCTGGCGGGCGGGCGGGTCACGAAGAATATTTCCAACAGCCAGTTGCAGACCAGACCTTGATCAACCAACAACTGTCTTCGCTGACTCTATGCTGATCAGATGGCCGGTCCGGAAACAATCACCAATAAGAAACTATGGCTGGGAACAAACAAAACAAGAACCAACCGCCAACCAACATATATGCAGGAGAAAGTGGAGATGGATCGGACACTCGCTGAGGAGGCCGGTTTGTGACATCGCGCGTCAGGCCATCGCTCGAATGGAATCCGAAAGGGAAGCGGCGTGTGGGACGTCCAAGGGTGACATGGAGGAGATCGTGTGAAGAGGAGTTGGAACAGTATGGACCAACATTGATGCAGGCGGAAAGTACAGCAGAAGGAAGACAGAGGCAAGTGGAGACGTGCAGTTGAAGCCCTATGTTCCACTACGAACCCAAGGGAGGAATAATAATAATAACAGATTCGGCTGAAAGTGGTTGGTATTTTAAGAGGAGACTGAAAGATTACTAATAACTTTTTATTGTCAGAAAGTGATTTCATACATTTTCTCCTGTTTTACACGTTTCTTTTGTTTTTCCTCATTCCATATCAGCGTATAAACAGAAGTTCAGATGAGCTGCGTGATTTCTTCACTGAATGTCATACTCATCCAATTGTGATGAAACAGTTATTTTCAGAATCATATGAATGTTATCTGGAAGTACTTGATCGATTAATGGCTTCATTAGATGATAAAAATGAAAATGTGCAAACAAAGCAGCCGTCAGCTTTGATTATTACTTATGCACATTTTGACTTACTTCTAATGTGGATTGTACAATACTGTTTGGGATTATGGTTAAAGGAAAGTATTCGAAAGTGTGAATACCAGAATGTAAAGGATATTTTAACTCGTGGTAAGTTATGCACTTGAACTCTGTTCGTGGTGTGTAGTGTATTCTCATTTACTTCATTCATCCTGTCATAATAATACAATAATAGTAGAGTTCAGAGTAGAGACATAGCATGTTTGATGGCAGAGGGAACGGTCAAGGACCTATAACCCAAGAAATATGTAAAGGTGAATTAGACCCACACCATGGGGATATTCCAGTGATATGATATACGACATAGACCATCAAATGGAAGCTCTCATCTATCCACGCTGTGAACTGAATTGTGATTAAGTCTCATCAATAGCAGGGTGTCTTACTAAGACTTGAATAAATCTTAATTTGGAATAGTTATGTTGAATGTTTTCACATTTTTCATCTTCAGTAATGCTATGGTAACGGTAATATCCAGTGGTATTTGTGATTGTTCATTTGACAAACTGATATCACAATGTGCAAACTGCCTTAAGTTGAAACTTGAATTTACAAAAGGCGGTTCGTATTTTGTCCGTATTTCCTTTAATTCACCTGATTGCAAATTAATCCATCATTCGGCTACTGAAGGTTTACTTCCACCAGAAGAGACGTTGTCAACATGCTACTCACAAAGCATATTAGTAGCATGTAGCATTCTTTCAGTGATATCAGTTTACTTTGATATGCATGAGAAGTACAGTTACGAAACGTTTATATGTATATTTGTATGTTTTTCTAATTGTTATACTTTCTTCTTTTGCAGCGTTTGACTACTTGACAGCAGTGCTGACATTATTTGCTCAGAATGATTTAAGACTGAGTGAATACGAAGTGAATATAATTCTAATCCCACTATTGAAGTGTGAATTGCAAGCAATGTTTGTATACAGGGATTCGTTTATTAATAATATTGCAACTGGTTTAGTGCGTCTTATCCGTCAAGTTTATCCTGCAAGTTTACTGATAGATATATTGGTTAAATATATGCATGAATGTGGTAATGCGAAAATGCGACAAAGTAAGTTCAATTGGTTATATCAACACTTATAACCTTTGCTGTCAGTGCATTACGAAAAGAAAGGAGTTGAAAAAGCAGTTTTGTTATGATGGTGTGGTGGGAAGATGAATGAATTTTCGTTCAGATGTATAGATGTATGTTGTTTTCTACTACTACTACTACATCATCTGTGACTTAGACATGGTGTTCGACTATCTCTCACCATACAGTTCAGCTGCTAAATGACTGGCCGTTGCATAAGAAAAATAGTGTAAAAGATTGTTTTGAGTTTGTAGAAAGAATCAAGAAATTAAATGTGAAGGACTGATCTGATATCACTGAATGCGTCTTCCTTATTCACCAATGTACCTTTGATTGAAACAATTGATTACATAGGTAATGAATTGATAAAGCAAGGTCTAGAGATTGGAATTTCTGTGTCTTCCCTGAAGGAACTTCTCTTAAGGTGTACAATGAACGTAAATTTCGTGTTCAATAAAGAAATGTATATACAATGAGATGGTGTTGCCATGGGATCACCACTAGGCCCAATCCTAGGAGATTTTTCCTTGGCGAAACTGGAGAATGGTCCACTTAAAGATGTAATATATAATCTTGATTTCTATTTCCGATACGTTGATGATACATTTATAGTTATTAAGAAAGAGAGTGAGGCTATGGACATATTGAATAAATTCATTAGGGCACATCCCGGCCGGCATAAGCTTCACTGAGGAAGGAGAAAATGACTTTATCCCCTTTTTGGACGTCCTAATGACTAGACGAAGAGACGGAGCAATATTTAGACGTTTGTATAGAAAACCTACTTCCGATGGACAATATACTCACTTCCTGAGCTTTGTACCTCTACAATATAGAGGTAATCTGGTTAGATAGATGTCTGGTTCACCGGGCTAGAGTTATCTGTTCAAATGAGACAGTGAACGAAAAACTCGGTAATATTCGCTATCTATTACGTAGAAACGGATATCCAACTAAATTCGTAAACGAAGACATGAATTCAGAAAGTAATAAGTGGAAGTTGCTGACTGTCTTCAAAAAGTGAATAATCTTCCTAAGGTTACAATTCACGGGTGATGTCAGTAGTGAGATCTTATCACAACGTGTGAGAAGGGCCTGCAAAAGAACTTCCTATGCAGCTAAGCTATGCTGTTTTATATTCACTAGCTGACCAGTACTTAGTTCAAGAAATAAAGACAGACTGCCCTGTTTCTCCGCTTCCATGTGTATTTACCAGTTTAACTGCGCGTGCAGAGCTAGTTACATAGGCCGTAGGATCAGGCAAGTTCATCGTCGAATTCCTGAACATCTCTCATCTTGATATAAGTATAAAATTTGGGCACTGTGGTAGAGTATGACTCCATTATGGATTAGATTTTATTTTGATATTAGTAATATTAACTGATGATGGTGTTTGGCAAGGGTTCGAATAAAGCTATGCCCAACTCAATACTAGCTCATCTCGTCGATAGTGGATATCAAATCGACCCTAACAAAGCTTTTAAAGTTATTTATCGTGTATCACCCAACCTCTCGCATGGTCTACGAGTACGACTTTCACATACAGCAGAGGCAATCGGAATTCATCTGAACAAGCCAAATCATGTATTCAAGAGAAATTTGTACAGCCCCTTTCTTCGCTATGACCGACTGCATAATATGTATTAAGTTTTTAAGAGGATTTCTCCCTTCCCTTTTGACTTCGTTAATTTTTACAATTCTAGTTAATTCTGTGAACTTGTCTGTATTTCACGTAACTCTTCTGAGTCATCGTATTCTTCTTAGTGATCATTGCTATTTTTCGAATTTCTTGATTGTGTAATATCTAGTTGCCAATGCCTAAGAATCAACTTGTCTTGAATTCCGTAATTAATTTTCACCCCTCCTTCAAAACTTAGATATCTTGTTACTAACACCTAATAGTTATTTGTTTTGATGACCTTTAACCTCTTGATTTCACTCCCGCCTATACCTGAAATGGATTAACTAAAATAACCACTTGATTGGTGAGAAATTTGATGTAAAAAAGCTATATACTTATTAGTGTAGAGCCAGAAGATGATGGGGAAGTAATTGAATATGAATGCATATTTCTTCGCTCGATGTGTTGTTTTTTTCAAAGGATATGTGTAGTGCTGAGCAGTTCACTTTGTCCGCCTCTATGGCCTTTAGAAGTTGCTGTTAGAAGTGGAAAATTTGAAAAGGATAACTGTCTTTGACCATAGATGGTTACGTTCTGTCTCCCGTGTTAAGTGATATGTAATATGATGATGATCGTTAGGGTTTAGCGTAGGATGTTATGCGAGGAGAAGTTATTTGATGAAGTTGTGAAGCTATGTGAAGTTAGATGATTAAGACACATGCTATGCATGCCGACCCATCGTCTCTTTCGTGCAGGAATGTCAGCTTATATACAGTCATGTTGGAAAAGATTTAGGGGTGATGGGACCAAAATATGAAACCAATCGATACTGTCAGTCGCCACCCAGAATATGTATAACTGATAATTTAGTCTATGAACTTGCGCATATAATCACTTCACATGCATGAAATAAAAATCCCTCATGATTAATTTCAGTCGATTAGCCAATAAATTATCTGAAATTACCAAGCTGTGGAGAGTTGAAATTGTCTTCTGTGCACGCTTGGCTGTATCGCAAGATTTATTGCCATCCAGTGTTAATCATGACAGATAGACTTTGGCAGTGCAGCAATCTGTGTGACCTGACCTTATCTCTCGTGATTATCATGTGATTATTGGTTATTTTAATGTAAATTGTCACTACTGATGGTCCACCTATTTCTTATACGAACGTGAATATAATTCACTAAACCATTTTGTTCCACAAATCATTACTGTTTGGTATGTAGGACCTCCTAGGAACTAAAGGATACAATAATAATAATAATAATGTGTTTGTCCTTCCTTAAACGACAGTTGCCTTTGTGTGGTTCTCTTTGTGTAACTTTATTATTCTTGTGTATTTTAGAAACAGGTAAAGTTTACGTTAAGTCACCAAAGTTTTAACTACGGTGGTGTCTAGACTCTGTAACGTCGTCATTACGGATAGCGAGGACGAAATATCTGTAGACAAATTTATTTAGTCCTACATCCAGTTATATTCATAAGACTGAAGTATTCTGATTTCGTTGACCCTTTGGGTGGGGCACACATGCCATTTGCATGGAACAATTTTTGAGACATTTGAAGAAGAGGATTGGAGCGATAAAATAAGTTACGAAATCAATCACATGATATGCAGTTATGTCGATGATTTGATGCAGAAAAGTAGTTTAGACTAATGCTAAGAACTCGACTGATTGACTGCGAAACACCTGTAGAGAACTTGTAAGAGATTTTCATCCATCTCATATAATAATTATTTAGTCCTCAATTTGTCTTCTATGGTAGTTTCTGTCCAAATAACTGGTTGTTCGCTGAGAGTCATTTGGTTGGTCTTGGTTGGCTCTTGGGTTGGTATACTCTAGCCTAGTTAGTGTCTTGTTACTGCCACTTACTGTTCTTTTTTCTGTATGTTAAACTGTTCTTTCTTTCTCTTCTCTCTATAGTTTGCTTAGATGAATTAGTCTGTTTGATACCGCGTTTTAGTGATCCAAAGGGATTAACATCAGGATATGCATTAAAGTCAATTTCACACCAACTTGCTGATTCAGATGCTGGTGTGAAAAAATCTGCATTGGATTGTCTACAAGCTGCTTATAAATCTTTTGGCGCCTTATTTTGGCAACATATTGGAAATGTAAGTTGTATGTTTTATCTGCACGATTATTTGTTTTGTCTGGTCAGTCGATCGATCAATCAATCAATTAGTTGTTCTTATCAGTTTATTTGATGATTATTGCTACTTCATCAAGAATTCATATGTGATCTGTTTATCCTTCAGATGGAAGACAGTGTTGTTTCCCTGTGAACATATCAGTGTTCACATTCCTTTGCTGTTTAGTGCATTGGTACATATTTTTGTTATCAAAAGTTGTACAGGTTAAAACGGATTTTGAATTCACTGCTATTTTTAACTTGTTGGTCATGTGACTTTTACCGTCGTCTCTAGCACGATATGTTTGTCCCCGAGTAGTAGTCATCTGGTCAGACAAGTACGAGACATGAGAACAAGTTTTGTAAATTAATTCACTATAATCACAGGATTTTACTGTTTGTATGGAGATGTAACCGATTAGTCTCAGCTAATGAGTCGTGAGTTCGAGTCCCAGTCCGCCTACATCATCCTGGGTAACTGGGTATCATCAGTCGTCACACAATAGGCGTGGTTTACAGCTTAAAGCATGTAAGACTTCTTTTGAGAACTGAGTTCAAAAGAAAAATGAAGAATATCAATGGTTGTGTGTCTATTCCGCCTACTTTGAATTTGACTAGAATTAGGTATAGAAACTCTGTCATCCTTTTATCAGTCTTAGACCTCGTTGTAAAAGCAACAATGTAGTCTTTGTAGGGAATTTCCGTGCTATGGAACTCATTATCTCAATACGTCGTAATAAAGAGAAGTAAATGTTTTATTTGAAAAACTCCAAAATATGCGGATAAAGTTAGACGGTTTTAGTTGTAAATGTCCAAACCAGGTTCACTTTTAACAGTTTGGGCATTGGGTTGGGCATATGATATTCATTAAAATACGAGATACAAGAGTACCACAAAGATGTCCACTGGACACCAGTGAAATAATTAAGAGCTTATAATTCTGTCTAGAAAGTAATCATTTTACATTTAAAGGAAATTAATGTAGACAGACAAATGGTGTTGCTATTGGTTCACCAGTTTTCCCAATAGTCACTGATCTTTTCATGAATAGATTTGAAGGTAACATCTGCTCAAGCGGACTCTTTCTTAAAATATGGTTAAGATATGTGTATGATAAATTGTCTGTAAGTGTCTGTAAGTATGGTATGTGCTTTGCGCCGTCTAAGTGCAAAGTACTGTTACAAGATTGGCAGGAGCCTGTACCTGCACTCACTCTTGCGGGTGAACCGCTTGAAGTTGTTGATAAGTTTGTGTACCTGGGTAGTTGTGTGAGTGCTGGTGGAGGGGTGACGGATGAGATTTCCAACCGTATAATGAAGGCTAGGGTGGCATACATCAACTTGAGCCACCTATGGCGCCGTCGCGACGTTAGCCTGGCTGTCAAAGGTCGGGTATACAATGCTTTGGTGTGGGCTGCGCTGCTCTACGCCTGTGAAACCTGGCCTCTCTGAGCTGAGGATGTGCGGCGGCTCTGCGTGTTCGATCACCGCTGTCTCCGCAGGATTGCTTGCGTTCGATGACATCATCGCGTGAGTAATTCTGAGGTTCGGCGGCGTGTGTTTGAACAAAGTGGAGATCACCATTCATTGAATGTCGTAATCTGGAAACACCAGCTCCAGGGGCTTGTACATGTGCTCCGAATGTCACCCCAGAGGCTTTCGTACAGTTAAGGATTTTTGTGCTAGATTAGCATCGGTTGGTGTGTCACGACTCCCTGGTTGGGGTCCGAGAGATAGCTCAAATCGATGGCTCGAAACGTTATCGGATATGGCGAAGAATCGTAATCAGTGGCGAATGTGTTGCGATCTCCTTCTTTCTTTCCTTCCCGATGATAGCTAACGAACACTGTTTGAACTTGTTAAGCATGACTGTTTTCCTTCCAGATGAAGTTCTTTATCCGTTCTCTACTTATATATATTTTTTCTTTTCCTTCCTTTTTTTTGATCTATGTTGTTTTATTATTAATGTGTGGCGCATCTTTCTTGGTGCCATATTGTGCCAAATTTTTTATGCGTTTAAATAAATAAATAATAAATGATAAATTGTAGTGCTAAAACGAGATCTACACAGTTCATTCTTAGAGAAAATAAACAATCTATCTCGCAGAATCCAGTTTACTTCAGGAGCAGAATCAGACGTCGGTGAACTTCCATCTCTAGACTGGCTAGTTAAGAGGAGGGAAAACAGACATTTTAGTATGTCTATTATATTCTGGAACGATGAATAAGTTGTTATACATAAGCTGAGTGGATTTTGTAAATTCTGGTTTGATAATGCTTAGACGGTTTGGGTAAGCCTAAACTGAAATAGTCAAACAAGAAATTGTCATACACTGGTCTAGATGCAATATCTAAGCCGGTTCAGCGTAAATGCATGACGAAACCTAATCGAGCAACAAGGAAGCGTACTATAATTCCACATTGATAGTATCTATGCTTCTGATTGCTTGGAATACAAAATCACATGCTAGAGCGATCCAGTTTAATTAGTGGTTTCTCATTTCCCATGATTGTATTCTTTTTCAAACCGTATAATATTTATTATTATTATTATTATTGTTACTCGTTCCTTGAGTTCTGAGTGGAGCATACGGCTTCAGCAACATATCTGCATTCCACTGTGTTCTCAGCGGTCACTTCCAGCTTTCTCTATGTTCATTTACAAGCCTTATTTCCTCCTCACATGATCTTCTCCATATTAGCATTGGACGTGGAACACGTCACCTCTCTTTCAGGCGCCACTGAATAATTAGGCGTATGAAGTCACTTGAATGTCTCCCCAGCATATGTGCAAACCATCTCCATTCTGTTTCGAAAATCGTGTTTAGAGAATTCAGTGCCTACTGCCTAAAACAACCATTACACCTTATGGTTGATTTTGTGTTTGATGATTCTAGTTTTGCTTGGTTTTGTTTTAATTTGAAGTTGATCACATATATAATTATGCTTCTGATATGTTGTGTTGTCCAACTAAAATATTATTCAGATTGGAGAAGAAGATAAGAAATTACTTGAAGAATATTTGTCTTGTGAAGCTGAAGGTAATACAGCTGCCCTACCAACAGACAACTTTGATACGTTGTCAGCGAAAACACCATTTGGTTCTATCATTACCAAAGATTCGACAGTGAATGTTCATCATACACTTGATTTTAATCAGTGAGTCTTTTCAGCTTTTTTTGTCTGATATATCTTAGCTGCTTTATATTATATTTTACTGCGTGTAGTTATCATGACTATGACTATGTGAAGTTTAATTTTCAATGATGGTAATAATAATAATAACTATTTACTTTTTCCGAAAAAAGAATACTTATAATACAGCGTGGAATTCACAGGGAATTTGATACAAGGCTGTGTAAGACTATGAAAAGCATATTGAGAAATCGGGTTCTAGGAATTAATGACGACTGTGGATAAAATTGGTGATGTAGCGCAGATGTATTCACCTTTTGTGATCTGCCTTATCCATTATAAACCCTGTTGTTTCTCTCTGTCTCGCCCTCCCTCCCTGCCTCCCTCACATCTCCGCGTGTTATCATTCTTTCGAATTTCTGTTTTATCTCTCTTGTCTTCCTTTGTGTGGTACATGTGTGGTGGGGTAACTCAATCTGTTGTATTTCTCAACAGGTTTGAAACCAGTCAATCAGTGAATCCATTGATATAATGATAGTAGTAGCGAATAAATTGTGCTGGAAACTTTATGTAGTTATTAATACTGTATCACTTTTTTAAATAGCAAATAAACTTATCTAATATGGGAGGACTATATTCTATGACGAGATTTCCACTCTTACATTAATAGTTGTATACGGTTGTACCGGTGATTGGCTGTCTGTTAGATTACTGCGATTCTACAGAAATCGAGTCTTTGGAGTATGCGGTTGAATTGATTTGTCATTTTAATGGTATCTTGTTGAGTGAATTGCATATTTGACCTAGTACATCTGAGAGAGTTGACAGTTAGCTGCCAGATTCCACAAGATAGTCATGTAGAGAATATGACAATCATTTCTGTAATGTTATTTTAAAGTTTTAGTTGTTGAGATAAAAATATAACGTGTTTATGGTCAACTTGTAAAAAGTTGGGGGGTGGGATTCATGGAATAAGGACGATTAATATTCTAACAGGCTGGACTTATTGTCAACGAGATGAAGCTTATCACGAAGTATATCTCGTGACATGAAGATCCCGGTTTCGACCTCTGATGAAGTTGTTGGGTCGGACTGCTGAAGAGTCCCAAAGAGAATTCTCTAACTGATGTTTGTTTATGAGGAAATGTACCTCGAAAAAGCTTTCTGTTGAAAGATAGTACCTTAATTAAGCAAATTTAATATTCATGCTAATAGGTATTTTAGAATAAAGACGTTTCCTTGCCTTGTCTTACATCATACGTCGAGATTATAGATTTTAGTGAGCTATGAAGCTACTTTTGTAGTAAATATCCTTTTTTGTCTTTTCATCATATGCCAACATATCTACATGTTCAGTTTAAACTGTTCCATGCAAACTTTCGTTAATTTCTGCAGTTCAGTTTAGATTTCTGGCCACGCTAGTTTACTCAACAAAAGTATGTTGCATACAGTAGAATTGATAGTATTTTCAAATTACTGCCATCATGACATCATCGAATGATATGACTATGAATGATAGATACTGTATGACTGTGTTTCCTATCAAACGAACTTATCTAATGTGAAGTTATGTTCTGGCAGTATGGCCAAATTCTTCTCTTACATTAAGTAATTGTTTATACTTGGTGTGCACAAATGTAGTGTTCTTTTTCTTTTCCATGAAAACTTTACAGATACATAAAATGTGATGTATACCTTACATTTTGGTTGATGTCTTCTGTTTTCTTAACTTTACAGTTTGAAAACGATAATTCAAATAGGATTTATGGACATCTATATTTGTCTCCCGGTGTGTTGTCTAAAGAGACTGTAATCTATGAGTAGAGTTTTTACGATTGGGAATTTGTGTCCGGTTGCATTTATATTATGTGTTATAGTCCAAAAATAAGAGGGAGTAACAATCAAATATCGACATTTCTTCATTCTTTTGCATTCCGGGGTAGTACATAGAGCTTCAGGTTTTGAAGTGTCGTTAGCAGTGGTATCGTTTTTAGTCGTGAGATTACTGGACGCCGAACCTTGTTTCCTTACTAAGCTTACTTACCGGTGCGTAGACTAGGCGAAGTTTAGGAGTGGTGTGGGTGAGGAGTGATGCTTGGACCATCCGCGTGGCTGGTGAACAGTCCATCATTGAAACACTGACGCTCAATGTCGACACAACTCAATTGAAATTGGGTAGTCATATGTATTAGTTGAGTGTGAATCATTTTTCTGAAATATTTCTGATAAAATATATTTGAAGTCAAGAGAGATGTCATTTATTTGTCTGACTAAAGTTTTTATCATTTCATTCCTTTCAGTATTAGACGAGCTGTGAGTCCACCGCCTGTGCACATGTCTCCAGCTGAACCTACGCATCTATTGCGGTTGGTTAACAAACGTGATGACCCATCGTCAACAGAATCGGAAAGAATAGAAGCGTCGAATGCACTGGATGCAGCTTTATTATGCTTAGTTGGTCAGTTAGGCTGTTCTGTTTGTGAGGATGCTGAAGATGAAGTTGAGAACATCGCCACAGTTGGTGATCGTGGTACAATAATTTTTTCAGATAAAAATGACGATGATTTTTCTGGTCTCAATAATATTCTTCTCGGAGCACTGATCGACTTGGAAGTGCTTATTCAGGGTATATTCCCTTTTTGCATCATATACACTTATGTTTAAGCATTTATTATTATCTCGATTATCAATTGGGTATTGTTTTTATATTGTAATATAGCAGTATACATCTCTGAATTGTCGCACGTAATACGGTGTTATTTGATTTTTCGTGATATGCCGTATTAGCCTTAACACTTGACTTTCTACCAATATGTGTAAAGGACTTGAGTCCCACTCCATATTAGGTTCGTCTCGAAATCCTGGCGAAGATCACTTATTTCTAAGTGCGGTTACTTCCTCACGTTTTCAGTTATTTATTTGACGGTTATATCATGTGATGCATTATTGTTTGTTTCAATACAACAAGGCCGGCAGATATACGAATACTGATGGATGTGAAACATTGATTTTTAAGTCTGAAGAACTGACTTAAAGCTAGTAGGAGATATTAATAGTTTTTGTGATAGGATGCTTGCACACTGCAGTCTTGTGAACACCCGTTTCCCTATTTTCATGCATGAGATAAGGATATGGAATGAAGTGGTTGGATTTGTTGGTGACAAAAGGCTCACTTAACACTTGTTGACTTGCATCATTCTTGACGCTTTGTGTCAGAAGGCATGTTCTGTGTTTGAAGAAGTTCCGTGTTCATTGCTTTATAACTACCGGAGAAGTCTATTGGAGATAGATTATGTGGATAGACCACAATTTTTTGACCTTAGGTACTTTGGGAACATTACTCAGACTATATTCGGACAAAAATAGTAAGTGATGTTTCGATTAAACTTGAAGTGTTAGGTGAGGAAAGTAATCGATTTAGTTGGTAAAGTCGTTAGATGACTTGGACAAATTTTGTGTGATCGGAATAATTGTCTTCTTTGATGAGGCATCTGATGTTATGTAGAATTGAGCTTGTCGGTGGTCTCAGCAGGTGGAAGTTGTCTGTTTGGTATGCTGGAAATGTGATAGCACTTATTGATAACAGACTCTTTATGAAATGTCTTAAAATCGTCTGAATTCACTGCTGGTCACCTTTTACATTTTGAAATCCCCACTTATTTTTGTGCGCGTATTCTCTCACATATCCTTGTCTCTTGTGATGTGATTTCCTTTTTGTTATTTACAGTTAGGTAAGATGATAAAGTATTTGCGAATGTGGTACAAATTTTCTACCTTGATTCTTCCATCATCAAGGAATGCTTTTGCGTTTCTTTTATATATCAAGGCCTGTTTGTTTTCTGAATTTCTAACAAGTGCATATTTTCCATATTAATTTGTTTATTGTATGTTATTTAAATGACTGATTCATTGAGCACACAACACTGTTTTCGATAACTTCTTCAGAAGACTTATTTGGACTAGATGATCTAATATAGAACTAACTGGTGAAGGTTTTAACTACAACTTTTTTTATTTAGCCACACTTGCCGGGCTTCCGGGGCATAAAAAACTCATATAGCGCTCCACATGAGTAGTTGAAATGATAAATACGATAATAGGTGGTGGCTAGCGTAGATATTTGCCTTTCAGTATCGGAAAATATAATTTGCAGCTTACCGGCATTAAATGTCCTTTGAATCGATTTTCTCTACCTGTTGGTTATTGTCGATTGAATTGTGTACATAGAGTACTTTTCTTATGGAAATTCCGTTTTATTCTACTGTCTGATCTTCTTGTCAGTAGGACATCGAAATCGTTTTCGCAGGATGACGATAAAGTGGGAGTTTTCGGAAAAGATCATTTTTGGGAGCATTTTCTAGCTTACTTAGAAAGAAATGTGCTAGGATTGGGATCCAATGGAGAGCCTATTGCTGTTTGTTTGTAGAATTGACCATCAAATTGAAAATTCACATTCATGGTACAGTTCAGTAAAAAGTCTCTAAAGATTTCTGCTGGGATCCCAGTATTCATTGACTTATTATTTATTTCTTGATGCTAGATGGTTGGAGGTAATCAGGAAGCAGGAAGCCTTGGTTGACCTAGGTTTCGTGCTAGTTGACATTCAAAGGTGAGCAAGGTGTATCTGCAACCTTGAAGGAAGGAACTCATGTCCCTTCTGAGATTGGAACCCGTGTGTGTCACGCAGTGCAGTGCTGCAGTCAGAGATGTTACCACTGAGCTATTCGTGCTGGCGATTGACCTCCTTCCTTAGGACTGTATTGGATACTGTGATTGGACACACTCGTCAGTAACTAGTGTGATGTGTCTAGTCGCTTATTTGATGTAGACTGAATTGTATCAGTCAGGTTCACGGTGTGGCCACAGATGTAGTTAACTGTTTGAATTAGAGGTACACTTGTAATTAGAGATGTTGGAATCAAAGACGTACTTTTATCTTTGATGTTAATGTCTGTCTGTGAATTCAAACATGTCGTGCACATATATTTACTAGATGTTCCTTTCAGGGTTTTAGAAAAGTTCCTAAGCGTGTCTAGTTAAAGCACGGGTAGGACGAATTGTTTATGTCTAGAATGAGTCTTAAAGTAGTGTAGGATAATGTATTTTGGGCAAGCCGTAAATGCTCCTGTGGGTGGTTTGGTTTCTTCACGTAGACTTGTGGAAAGCATGTGTTTTTCATTTAGTTTCTTTAAATGTTTAGTTATTTCATTGTGTATTCTATTATTTGAATATTGCTCTCCTCCAGTTTTTGACAATAAGACGGTATTGTATAGTGGATGACAAAGTTTCAAACAATTTATTCTTCAAAATCATATCATCCATTGTTTACTACACAACTTCAGAAATGGATTTATCTATCCACCTTCCCTTTTGTTGAGTATTAGAATTTTTCATTTGTTCGGGACGGGTATTGAGTGAGTCACTCCTGTTGCTTGTGTTCTCAGTTTCCTTGTAACTGCATGTGTAATGCTGTAGGTGCAGGATTTTCTAAATACCTCATATTTAACTGGGGTTAATCGATCTATTTTTTATTTTTATTATTGTTCCCTTGGGTTCGTAGTGGAACATAGGGCTTCAACTGCACGTCTCCACTTGCCTCTGTCTTCCTTCTGCTGTACTTTCCGCCTGCATCAATGTTAGTCCATACTGTTCCAACTCCTCTTCACACGATCTCCTCCATGTCACCCTTGGACGTCCCACACGCCGCTTCCCTTTCGGATTCCATTCGAGCGATGGCCTGACGCGCGATGTCACAAACCGGCCTCCTCAGCGAGTGTCCGATCCATCTCCACTTTCTCCTGCATATATGTTGGTTGGCGGTTGGTTCTTGTTTTGTTTGTTCCCAGCCATAGTTTCTTATTGGTGATTGTTTCCGGACCGGCCATCTGATCTTCAGCATAGAGTCAGCGAAGACAGTTGTTGGTTGATCAAGGTCTGGTCTGCAACTGGCTGTTGGAAATATTCTTCGTGACCCGCCCGCCCGCCAGGCTTCTGATCCGTATAGAAGAGCTGACTGACTTGACGTTGTTTATATTGAAAATCCGACTGAATTTTGTTGTTGATGTTGGCTGAGTGACGAAGATTTCCAGATTGATTTCAGGTTGGTGAGTGAATGTGTTTCTCGCCTTCCCGATTCTCGCTCGATTTGACATCGTCGTCCGTTCCGACTTCCTGTAGATGAGACAATGGTCCCTAGATAAGTGAATGAATGAAGTAACCTCTTTCAAATCCCTCCCGTTGATGGTGATTGGCGCTGGATGTTTCTGTTGTTGTTGTTGGTTGGTTGGTTATTTTCATCACCTTCTTCTTGTCTATGTTCACCTCGAGTCCTGTCTTCGCCGGCTGCTTCTTCAACCAGTTTGTCGGTTTTCGCTTGTAAGTCTTCGATTGTGTGTGACATCAAACATAAATCATCGCCGCGCGAAATCCACGTCTTCTAGGTTCTTCACGTCAGTCTAGGATACTCCTCTTCTCGTTTCCACACACTGTCTGACGCATAATCCAGTCAGTCCACGACAAATAGGAATATCATTGGTGATAGTAAGCACCCTTGTCTGACTCCTGTGTTTACTCCAAACGCCTCGCTGAGTTTTCCGCTGTGGATGACTTGACATGTGCCGTTGTCGTACAGCTAGCTGTTGAATAAGGTTAATGAATATTTGGGGTACGCCGTAGTAGTGGAGTAGTTTCCAAATCACTTTACGGTCAACGATGTGGAAGGCCTTCTCGAAGTCTATAAAGTTGAGGTAGAGGTTTGGCTGCCATTCTGTGCTTTGTTCTGTGATGATGATGCGTAGAGTTGCAATTTGGTCAGAACATGATTTGCCTGACTTTCCTGAATCCAGCTTGTTCTGGTTGGAGTTCTGTATCGATCTTGCAGAGTGAGGTGTTAGTCTCTCGTCTTTGGTAGTTTCACGAGGTAACCTTTCCTTTAGTTAGTAGGCACCCTTCCCTTTTTTCCGTGGTAACCTATTTTTAAAATGTATTATAACGGGATGGAGGCAGATATTGGTAACTGAAGTTTTACTTATCGAATCAAAACTGAGAACACACGCAAGAGAAATAAATGACTTTGCGCATATCCCGGACATATTGACCATTTTACTACTCTACTGCGCTCTACAAATAAGAAGGAAGAGTGATAGCAACAAAAGTCAAGTTTCGGAGCTGTATATTTACAATTGATTACATGATTCTGAAGAATAAATTGTGTTTGAAACTTTATCATCCAGTAAATAATACCATTTTAGTGTGTCTGTATGTGTGTGTGTGTGTGGTATCCAATAAAGAAAAATAATATTGTGGAATTAAACAATTTCACAGCGTACAATGTTTACACATATAATCAAGGGTACATATATTTGTATCACTGAATTACTACTGTTTGGTTTCATTTTATTTTTATTTGTAAATAGATTCACGAACATGTGATTTACTACCACCTTATATGCCTGATATCATTACTCAGTTAACGCTACTTTGCAATCGCCTGTTCATATCTGAGGTTAATGCTGGTCAGGCTATTTTCATGGATTGTTTAGGTGGTGAATTAACATGCGTAAGCTTTTAGGCGAAATGTTTGACACTTTGTTTTACATATATGTATTGTACATTATTATTATTGTGATTATTTCTTTTTGTGAAGTTCATACCTGTATAGATGAATGATCTCGTCTTCTCTCGTCTATTGCATGCATAATCGCTTTTTCTGAAATTCGATTTCCACAATTGTGAATAGTATTTGTAGATTTTGAACGAGTGTTACACATAAAGTGATGTAAGAAGAAAGCGGAATTAATTTTCCCCCTTCAGTTGTACAATCGCATTTATACACAACGTTTTCCATCAATGGAAGTTGTTAAATATGCGAATCGCAGAGATCCTGGACCTATCGCTTGTTTTAGAAGACTAAGCCTAATGCGTAGAACACTATGCACTGTAACCGACGCAGAACAAGAGAAAAGGCGGTTGGGCAACACTGAACAAGCCACTCACTGTACTCGAACTCATGCAGTCAGCCAGGTGAGGGCTTACGGCGAGTTGTCATCTGAAGTGGTGTCCGTCAGGGTTCCCTTTATCCCGATTTCCATTCAACTCAATCATAGCTATACTAATGGACTTAACCCTAACTGACTTCAGAGAATCAGGGATTGACTTGTTACAACCAGGGAATAATCTCGTTGACTTGAAATATGTTGATGATATAGTCCTCCTAGGTGAAGACGCTGAGAATATGCAGAGTCTTCTTAACACCTTGAGAAGCAGGAATCTACGAATGTATGGCATGCGAATCGCTCTCGCCAAATGTAAGATGATGTTGCTGGACTGGACTACACTGACTGCTAGTTTAGAATTAGAGAGTGAAGTGGTGGAGCACATTGAACACTTCACTCATTCGGGAAGTTGTATCAGCTAGTGACAGTGGGTTGAACGCTGACGAAATCTCACCACGGATACAGAGGGCTAGTTTCGCATATGCCAGTTCACTCCGTCTTTGGCTTAGTTTAGTAGACGTGATATCCTGCTGGCTGTCGACCAAAGGGTTTATGTACTGGTCATGAGTCCACTACATTCTCCTTTATGACTGTGAGACCTGGCCATTGAACGTGGAAAACATGAAAATCCTGAGTAGCTATCTTTGGACATAAATTTTCAAATTCTGATTGTTTAATTACCCCTTACGTATTGGCTTTAACTTGTTGCATCGCTATGTGCTTTTTTATCGAATACACGTATTCTATGATGGGATGAGATAAACACTCTGTATCCGTAGGACTTTTTGTTCAGTTGGGTGATATAATACAGTTAAAAAAGTTAATTACATCAGTTCTTTTTTATTTTATTTTCCTGTGTATATTGTTAGATTTTCTCACAACCCTTTCTATTTCGAGAAGTGAATGCTGATCATTTGAAGTTTCTGTTGGGTAGTTTAATAGAGCTTGCTGAACGGCTACAATTGAATCGTGAAGCGCCTAGACTGTGTACAAACCGACGTGTTTTGCTCATACTGAAATTAGTTCGATTTATCTATACAGCAGTTGATCCATCCATTTGCTTGAGGTTAGTTATTTAGTTAGTTAGTTGATTTGAACATGATGTTATTTTATCAGTTTTATTAATTTATTTGTAGTTGACACGTTAAATTGAGTTGTTGATTGAATTAAAGCTGTCAGTAAATGTTTTTGAGCCAGTTAGACGATACTGATTCTCAGTAGGGGCATGCGTGCTTACTACTACTGAATAGCTATCAAGTGGGATGAGACAGGTTTTTGGTACTTCCTGGTTTTCCACGGTGCTCTAATATTAGAGATGTCAATCGGTGATCTTACTTTTTTTCTCTCTCGTTTTTCTTCGAATTCCTTTGCTGTCTGAATGGAATATACAGAAGTCGAAGTTTGAGCTTTAAAGTTTCAGAATTGGTGGTGTTGCATTTTTTCAGGATGGGATCGCTAGCTTCATGCATGCCCAATCCTTCCTCTTTTCCTAGGTTACTACTATCAGCTAGAACATGTGTGTGTGTGGTTGGCTAGCATTGTGCCCTTGGACCTCCGACGCACATGGTTTAACCTAATATTCGTTGTATCTCTGTAAACAAACAGCTGAAATTATCATTCCCAGCAGAAATAGCGTAAATTGCATATACATATGTCTACCTTGTTATCGATGGAAAATTGGGAGTTATTTGCAATCACTCACGACCTTTTCTTCCCATTGAACTTTCCTTTTTCATATGTTTATCATTTAATTTGTAAAACGTATTTGTTGTGTGCATATTTTACTATGGAAGAAAACGTGTGTCATTGATTTTTACTGTTCTAGCCTGAGTTGACTCGTGTGAATTTGATTTTCTATTTCATAGTGCTCTTCTACGTCTGGTGCATATATGTTGTTTTGGTTGTGATATACGAAATCGTGAAAACAAACCAATTCACAAAAATAACAAGGATAATGCTGAGGATAAGTCGTCAAAGTTTCCTCAGCAATTACGTGAACCGTATTCTGTAGATCTGGGACCGAATTCGTTTGCCACTGTGGCAAAACTTTCACTTGCTCAACTGTCTTGTCGGATTTCAGAAATTAGGCAGTATTGTAAGTTGATAAGTTTGTTTGTCAGTTTTATGCTTGTAAATTTCAAACGATCCTGTGCTGTGCTAAAGTAGAATATTCAAGGGACAAGTTAAATTCTAATGGCCCGAGAATACGAACACTGCAATGACCTTGAAAGCAAACTAGTCGTTAGATAGTAACGAGACTTACCATTATTTATTATAGCACCAGTGTGAACGTGATTCACGAATTCGGGTGTAAATTCCACTCCGATTAGTTTTTATTAATTACTGTTGGACTATGTTAGGGTTAGGATTAGGATTCAGGCAAGTATTAGGGTTAGGGTTATAATTAGGATCAGGATTAGAGTAGGGTTAATTAGTTTTATTATCCACATTTTCCTAGTAGGAGGTAGTCGTCTGTCGTGTTGTTGGGAACCATAGTAATTCAACTGAGGGGCTTTTTGGGAAGACTTCGAAACATAATAAGGTAGATAAGTGGACCACAAAAAGGCTCACTTCAGTCACCTCAGTGAATAGGTTGATAGGAACTGGTTTAACTTAAAAACTGATACTCATTATAATTGGGAGCTATTTGTAAGTCATGTGAGTAAAAATATATCCTGTTTAATGTGTTCTATGATTATGCTATCTATTCCTTTTGTATATAAACGTCATTTTTATGCAGAAATCACTGGGATTTCCTGATTGGTCGGCTCACGGTCTGCTTACCAATATTCGTGATATTTTAAGTTTTCTCCTTCAAGATTGGAGATAGGCCTTGCTAACTGAACAGTGGCAGGAAGCGCGAAACCTAGGTCGAAAGCTTTATGTGGATTGCCTCCAATTATCTAACAACAACAGTTCAGAAAATTTTCTTTGTTGGCGAAGTGATCTGCAAAAATTGTACAATTATGTATATAAATATATAACAGTTTACTGTTTAGTAACAGGGGTGTGTGACATTATTGTACATAAGTGAAAGAGTTGACTTCCTTTAGATATCTCCCTGCGACTGATGCTTGTTGTTGTTTATTCATCGCATCTATATTGACCATGTTTTCCTGGGGTCGTGTCTTCACTGCCTGTTATACCCACTTCTTACTTCTTCGCCTGTATGTCTTCTACTTGTGTGTCATTAGACGTAAATTGTCCGCGAAGTCCATATCCTCTAGAGCCTTTTCGTAGGTCTAACGTTTATATGTCTTCTCATTCAGTAGGTAGTGTCGGATGATGGGATTCACCAGAATAGGGAATATCATCAGCTGTAGGAGGTAGGTTTGTCTTACTCTTGTCTTCACTTCAAACGCTTAACAGGGTTTTCCGTTGTAAATCACTTGGCATGCTGTTAAATATAGTTTATAAAGTTTCGGTTTCATCCGCCGCACCATTCAAAATGGTTTTTAGTCATGTCGCCAATATTTTCTTGCCATTTGTTCTTAATGTCTGGAGCACTCTCCAACCAGGCATAGTTCAAACCAACGGTCAAACTTCATGGGTTAATGTCACGTTTTTGTTTGACTGCCGTTAATTCTTTTCTAACACACAATAGCTGATAACCAACTGTTATGTATGTATTTTAACAACTGTATGTCTTGTTTTCTCTTCTCAATGATTTCAGTAAATAAAATTGATTGGGCTTTAATTCTACCATTATTGGAAGCATTTCTGCCTAATTCCTCCGGTGTGCAAAAACCTGTAAAGATAAGAAGTAATCGTTCTGTTTGCGTGGAAATCTTAGGAAAGACTGTTAATGCAATTGATGATATGCTCGTAGAAGTTTATGCTTGTCGTGGTCAAGCGTTTATTGATGAAATTGAAAAGTCTAATGTGAAGGTGAGTTGTCAACAAATAGAAAACAAGATACATGAGTAGATTCTTTTTTTATTATTTTATCTCTTTCCATTCCCACTGGATAGTTTTATATATAACTTTGCTTACTTGGAGCTTAACAAAGTCATACTTTGAACATCGTCCTTGTTTACACTCTGTGAATCTTGATGATAAGCTATGTGAGTATGAAATGTCTTTATATATTGGATTCGAATGTTTTCGGGTGAAATAGAGTGTAAGGCGAAAAACGTGTTATATCGGTGGTGTGATATTATACAATACTGTGATGAGAGGAGCTGTCTGCTAGCCGAAATCGGTAGGCAGCAATTTACATCGAATTTACGTCCCATATCTTGGTCATGAGAAAGAAGCAAGAACAAAGACTAACTCAACAGACAATCACAGCGGACTTTACTCGGTCGGGTACTGTTCGCAAAGAAACGTTCACGAAGAGATGACAGAATAACTTCCAGTGAGGAAACGACCAATCAGAAGACGCTATTTCTCTGCTAAATAATTACGAATAATAATGTACATAAAAACCTATAAATATCTGTTTGTTTAAGCGATCTGTCGCCTGGCCCTTGGTTTCTGTCGTTCCAATACCACTGATTTTTGTAAATTCGATAGTAATACTGATCACTGAATACGTGCGTCTTTCAAAGCTCATATATGAGTAGGACAGACTGGTCCGTGTTGGTGTGTAAGGAATTTGATTTATATTGTAGAAAAATATATTATATGCAAATATTACACACTTCGGAAATTGAAGTGGACGAATAAACAATTATGCTGGTTACATAAAGTCGGACTTGTAAAGAGTTGTACAATCACATTGTTGTAATAAATACTCTACTTCACTCGAATGGTTCAACAGTCCAAACTGATTCAAAGTACTAATAACCGCTGGTTGAAGATTTTAAATTATTTCCTATGACTGTGAGGTTGATTGATTTTACTACTTTCCTGCAACTGACTGCTCATTTACATTACATAAAAATCAACTAGACTGATAGTAATTAACCTACTGGTCGTACTGGTTGCTGATAGTCAGTCTAGTCGAATGATCACTGTTCATGGGAAGTGTATCACTCTAACAAGTCATCAGTATTGAGCAATACGTGCATAGTAAATCGTTTCTAGAGTTAATAAATTGTGGGATTTTTGAGGATTTGGCTTATTTTTCAATTCTTAGATTTCTTCACGAACCACCACTGGTTAGAGAGAGATGATTAACAAGCATGGAGCAGTGGAAGTCTTCAGCAGTGCGCGCCCGCGATCCCACTGGTAGTCAAACCCGAGACATTCAGGTTACTAGATCAATCTCGTTGATCATTCAGGGTTCGTAGGTGTGTGCACTGCTGAAGACTCCTAAGAGATACTGTATTTCAGAATCCCTTTTGTATTGTTTTCTATGCATTCGTCGAACCCATCAATTCAAATGTATGTTACAGTCAACATCCGTAGTACAAGTGATGCATGGTAGTTTTCATAGGCGAAAGGGATTAGAATGAGACTAGATGATTTTTTGTAAAATAATTGGTTTTGTTGATTTATTCGGGGGATATAGATGTGCACACATAGTTAGTTATGTTACCAACATTTTTATTTCTGTCAGTGTCTTCTACTTACAAAATCTTGGGAATAAACTTGTTTTTGACATTGGGGAAAACGTCGACTGGTTGACTAGTTCACCAGTTTACTGACCTCTCGTAAGCCTAAAAGATGGGATGATCGTTTGGGCCTTACAAATCTCGCCCTTCAAAATAAATCCTATCGGTACAGAATCTTCAGAGCACAGAAGAACTATGAGAAATACACTTACTCTTCCTTAGAATCGGAGTAGTGGAATAACGCTGACTAGTTTGGCCGATATGTCTGCTTCCTCTGGAAACCTGGGGACATGGGATGTGTGCACAATGTTTGAATTTGACAAAGCTGCTGAGGTTTCAAAGAAAATTTAAGGCATTCTTGTACAGAAGTGTTGTAAATCTCTGTCAACACAAAGTGCTTGTTCAGTCGAATTTGTGAACTACAGGAAATTATTCAATTTTCTCATGAATTTTAAATTCCATAGGTCATCTGAATATTTCATAATTGTTTTATATTACTGTTCCTTTTGCAGTGTCCTTCTGTCCTCCGTGTTGTGGAGAAATTAAAGTCTATTATGCGTGAAGCACCATATCCACATTGTCCTGGTGGCAGTACTACTGGAGCGAATCAGGTTTGTTGTTGAAGATTAATTGAAACGATTTGATTAGATTTTGTTTTTTGTTAATGGGATTGCATTTTCTTTGAATAACCAAATGTAAAATGTTCTGTTTTCTGACAGCCTGTTGTTCTTCCCGAGATTTTTTATCATAAAAAGTGAATACAGTATCGAAATAGATATCTGGGACCAAATTTTCACTGTATAAAGGCCGATATTATATTAGTAGTTTTTGATGCTTAAGTAGGTGGAATAGGATATGAACCAGTGGCCATATCTCCACACGCTGTACTACACTGTGTGAATTAATAAATATTGCATTATTTTCAGGTATTGGATTTTTAGGGATTGTGTTTGATTGGTTGGAGGGTTTCATGATGAGCTGATATCAACTAGAGAACCATTGGAAAACCTGGGAGTACTGGACAGCTGTTTCGTCCTAGTTTGGGATAATCCGCTGCTCTATGGTAGTTTGACATTTATAATAATGAAGAAATGTGCTACATTTCACTTAACTATGATGTAGTTGATTCTATTTCACTTGATATAAAGAGAAGTAATAATGTGTTTCATCAGAGGCCTGAAGACTTTGAAGCAAAGGGTTGTGAATTTGATTGAATAGTGCTTCCATGACAAAAACATAGTGTTATAAACCTCCTGACTTTGAGTCCCACCTCACCCCATCTTGGAAAACGAGTAGTTTCGTCGGTCCTGACACAATAATTATGTAGCTGGTACATGACAATTCGGTTACATGTAACTGATTTCTAAGTAGAGATTGTTTGATAAGGCTTCACTTATCAAGAGTAGCTCTTATTGAGGTGCACAGAGAGCGCGTGTAATGGAGGAGTATTCTTCCTTACTAAATACAGAATATTTTAAGCGTGTGAGTGAGTGTTCATGATAAATGGTAGATAATATTGGTGACTTTCGTTTGTTAGTTTACATTCTAATTACTCTTTTGTCTATCAGAATTTTGACTTCTCCTCCATGTAGGCCAACTTCACAGTTTGTAAACCGATGCATATATCCACTTTCAGTTATAAGTGAAGTCAGTCGAACTTCATTCCTTCGATTAAGTAATAGTCATAAAGTTCACGGTAATGATGAATATGCTTCACTGTGTGTGTAAATGATGATGATGATAGCAGATTGATTTGTGGATGATTCCTCAGTAGGTTTATTTTGATGGTGATATTGAACAGTCTAGTTGTCACATTTTAATTATGTCATGTGAATGTGAGTGTAAGTGTAACCTATTGTTTGTGTTTTGTTTTCATTCAGTTTCTTTTATAGTTCAATATGTCCTGCTTCCGAGGAGAAATACTGAACGAAATTATCTTGTAAATATAATATTTTTGATATATACATGAAGTATGTACACTGTGATGATGACTAACTGCCTTACTTGCCTTGTTTATATCTTACTTTCTTTTTATCTTCTTCATTGTCTTACCTGTCGATAGATTCGTTTATCTTTTGATGTAAATACAATGTTTCTTTATTGACCGCCTAATCAATCTTCCTGATGTATCTCATCCATCATACAGTCAGTCTACTTGTAATTTCGCATAGTTATATTCTATCGGTAGAGTTGAATAGAATTGGAGCCTGTATCATTGAATGCAGAATCTAGCTCGGAAGCGCCGTTAGACTGGCTGTTAGAATGACACCTGACTGAATGTCAAATTGATGTTGCATACTCCTCGATCACAATGGTGAGAAGTGTAGTGATTCATTTTTGAGCATTTTGATTCGAAATGTGTGGATCAGGTCAGGTGACCTGTTTTAAGGTAGATGGCACTACAGTGTTGTTCAATATAGCTGATATTTGTTTGAGCGTTGGTGAGAAATTGCTTACTATAAGAATATCTGTGCGTCTGTGGCACAGCGGTAGAATACTTTCCGACCACGGATATGGTCTGCGGTCCGAGCTCCGGCCGCAGACGCACTCCTTTACCTCGATAAGCCAGTAATAAGGCTGGTAAAGAGGATAGGTTGGACATGAGGCTAGCAACCCCATCCCGTACAAATAGTTCCCACTGGTACCGAAACTTCATGCCCTGTAGCTTGAAGGAAGAAAAAAATCAGAATAACTGAATGAAGAACTCGGTTTCCTATCGCAGAAATTCGATGAGTAGTCACTACCAAAGACAAATAGTGGGATTGGTGCATTTTGAACAGCTCATAGAAAGTGGTTAAACGGAAAACAAGACGTTAGGAGAAGAATTTCGTATTGATACATGAATTCAATGAGATAGGACACCAATTTAATTATGTGCTAGCTACAGAAATAAATAAATTGGTAACTTCGATTTAAGCTAACTAGTACACATAAAATATGATGACCACACCAATAGCCCCTTAACAGAGTGGAAATATTCGCAGTGATATCTGTGTTTGCTAATGTGTTTCGCTACATGGAAAATGCCAGTTCATATTAAAATAATAGTCCCTTGTGGTAATTCTACTTACTACTTTATGGAAAACAAAATAAGTTGTTCAGTGAAGAGTCTGTTTTCAGCGTTTGCATTTTCTTTACATATACGATCGCATTCGTATAGAATTTTTAACAAAGGCGAATTGTGACGTAAGATATTATAGTCGTAAAGAAATCTCAAAAGTCATTGGCCTACAAACTTTATCATTGAACGTTGAGCACTGATCTTCAGCTGGTTAAGCCGAAGGTACACAGCTAGAGCGTCTCTGGCATTTAGGCAATCTGTTGTGTCGTGTTTGTGTGTTGTGTCTGGTTAACTAAGCAGACATCACTGGTGTATATTTCTGGTCCCGAAATATACCATGTATTTATGAGGACCAAATTGTCGTTGCAGTCTGACTTTCCGACAATCCTCTGGTGATAAAGAACAAGTACGTACAACTGTACTCGCTGACATCTTTCGTCTCGTCATAAGCATAGAGGTTCATACTATTCACTATATAAGAACAGTTGAATACGAGTGACGGGGTTACGTAATGAACTTGGGGATTAAGTGGAGGAACTCTAATAAGCATATAGATAGAGAGAGAGGGGGTTTGAAGGAATAGAAGGCTTAGACAGAGTTTTAAAAAATGATTGAAAATAGTAGTGGAACTAGCAGTTTCTGAGTTAGACGATCAACCCATGCAATGAATTTAGTATAACAGCCTTTTCTAAGTATAAAACTTGGGCACTGTGGTGGTAGAGTACAACTGCATTATGGATAAGATTTTATTCATAACAGACTTTTCTACCACAATAATTACCGTAATTGCCGACCAGCTGCGGAAAACAGTTGCATAATTTGAACGCTTACTATTAGTAGTAGCACGGTAGTGTGAAAGTTAGTCGGGGCAACTTATTCAAACACAGAGAGGCACTCATTCAACAGATAAAGAGACTCTTGCAAATCAGAAGATTATAGTTCCAGTCTAGTTACCGTTTCACTTTTCTGAGTTTCATAATTGCTAACTACCTGCTGCTAGTGACCTTAGCTTTCTGTGTTACAGAGAAAATAATATAGCTACTTTTGACATTTAAAGGAATATAAACCTTCAAACATAAACTATTCTTGTTAGTAGTTTGAGAAGTTGTGACTTAGTATTTATTGTTTGTTTAAAAGCACTTCAGTAGTATGTGAAGGCCATACGCGAAAATAAAAGTAATACTATCTATGCTTTTATGAAATGAAGCGTCACCCCGTGGCTGCAATATCAAGCTTTTAATTTAACATAGCGACTTTCCAACACATGTACAAAGACCGAACCGACAAAAAGGATTAAATGGGTAAATCAACTGAAGAATTAAGTGTGATGTACGACGTTGTACACAGTAGGTGGATCTATGCGATGCACAACTAAACTCCATTAGTGATACAACAGTGGACACTTTTTATAGGGTTTTCAATCCCTGAAATAAAATGGCCTATAATGTGAAATATGAGAGTACAATAACATGGCGGAAACGTCTGTATCATCTTCAGCACGACTAAAGTTTCTATCTTGTACTGATAATACGAAGGTCGAGAGTTCGAGCCTCTCTCGGAGCACGGATTTTAAAACCTTGCCAGATTACTAGCTTCCTAAGCTACTAGCTTGCTAGTTTTCTAGCCGGTCCAAGCCCGGGTAAAGAGGGAGGGTTGGGGCGTGGTGCTAGCAACTCCACCCTCGTAAAACAACCAAATCGCTACAAAAACTTCAACAAATAAATATATTGAAAATTCTAAAAACATAAGCAATAGCCTTACTTTTCGCTGGAATCGGGGAAGTGAAATGACGCAGGCTGGTGAAAGCCTTCGGGAAGCCAGTCAGCCGATGTGCCTTCTTTCGATGAAAGCAAAAGTAAGGATGGGTACCTGGAATGTTCGTACAATGTACGAAACTGGAAAGGCTGCTCAGATAGCCGCTGAAATGAGAAGATATAGAATAGAAGTGTTGGGAATCTGCGAAAGCAGATGGAACGGATGTGGAAGGTGCCAACTACCAACTGGAGAGACAGTAATCTATTCCGGCCACCCAGAGGACAACTACGAACACACCGAGGGAGTGGCCATCATGATGTCACCAACAGCAGCCAAAGCTCTCATGCAGTGGGAACCAATCTCCTCCAGGATAATGACAGCCAGGTTCAACTCAAAAGGAAGGAAAGTTACAGTCATTCAATGCTATGCGCCTACAAACGTCTCAGAACAAGAGAAGAAGGAGGCGTTCTACAGACAACTACAAGCAATAATGGACAACGTCCCAAATGGCGATATCAAAATCCTGATGGGCGACATGAATGCGAAGCTGGGAGAGACAACACAGGAAGAGAACTCACCATGGGTCGTGAGGCCCTCGGCGAAATGAACGACAATGGTGAACTCTTCTCAGACTTCTGCGCCTTCAATGATTTGGTGGGTGGTAGTGTGTTCAAACACAAGGATATACACAAGACGACATGGATTTCACCAGATGGAAACACCAAGAACCAAATAGACTTCATCTCAATTTCAAGAAAGTGGAGACGGAGCCTACTGGACACAAGGTCAAGGAGAGGAGCAGATGTGGGTTCAGACCACTATCTAGTAGAAGGGACTTTCAAGGTGAAACTAAAAGCCTCGAGGATAGCTGGGGATAGGCCACAATGCAAGTTCAACACTCAATTACTGAAGGACACAACCACAAAAGACACTTTCACTGCAACTGTCAGAGCAAAGCAGGAAACACTACGCGACATCACTGAAGAATCATGCGTGGAAGAACATTGGAAGTCTCTGAAGGCGATTCTCAACGAAACGTGTTCAACGGTTCTAGGAAGAAAGAAGAGACAAGACAAGGAATGGCTCTCAACGGACACTTGGAAACTAATAGGGGAAAGGAGAAAAAACGATTCAATGCAAGGACGGACAGGAGAAGGAGACGCTGAGCTCAACTTACACAGCACTGGACAAAGAAGTGAAGAAGAGTGCTAGGAAGGACAAAAGACGATTCTACGACAACCTCGCCACTGAAGCTGAGAAGGCAGCAGGCAAAAGGGACCTGAGGACACTATATCAGATAACCAAATCTCTATCCGGGAAGAGATCAACACAAGCGAAACCTATAAAAGACAGCCAAGGGAACCCAATTACCAAGGAAGAAAAACAGATTAAACAATGGGCGGATCACTTCAAAGGACTCTTGAACCGACCATCACCTGCAACCCGTCCAGAAATACCAACAACAGCGCGCACACAACTGCAAGTTGACACCAATCCTCCAACGAGAGCTGAAGTCTTGATCACAATCAAGCTTCTGAAAGCTGGAAAAGCAGCTGGACCAGATGGAATACCCCTGAAGCACTGAAAGCGGACCCAGAGACTACAGCAGACATGCTG